GGATATGGGGGAGTGTGGTTCTGTACGGGATACGGGGGAGTGTGGGTCTGTATGGGATATGGGGAGTGTGGTTCTGTATGGAATATGGGGGAGTGTGGTTCTGTACAGGATACGGGGGAGTGTGGTTCTGTACGGGATATGGGGGAGTGTGGCTCTGTACGGGATACGGGGGAGTGTGGTTCTGTATGGGATATGGGGGAGTGTGGTTCTGTACGGGATACGGGGGAGTGTGGTTCTGTACGGGATACGGGGGAGTGTGGTTCTGTACGGGATATGGGGGAGTGTGGTTCTGTATGGGATATGGGGGAGTGTGGTTCTGTAGGGGATATGGGGGAGTGTGGTTCTGTATGGGGGAGTGTGGTTCTGTATGGGATATGGGGGAGTGTGGCTCTGTACGGGATACGGGGGCGTGTGGTTCGTATGGGATATGGGGGAGTGTGGTTCTGTACGGGATACGGGGGAGTGTGGTTCTGTATAGGATATAGGGGAGTGTGGTTCTGTAGGGGATATGGGGGAGTGTGGTTCTACATACAAACGCCACGCAGAACGTTTATTAAATCAGGAATCAAACCCCAGGCCCTTCCTGCTGCGAGGCGCGAGCGTTCACTGCGGGCCCTGCCTCTCTCCCACGTGCCCCCAGGGGTCTTCCTGCCGCTGGGCCTCGTGCTGCAGCCGTGGATGGCCTCGGCCGCCATGGCGGCCTCCTCCGTCTCCGTGCTGCTCTCTTCGCTCCTCCTGCGTCTGTCAGTTTGTCTCCCCCCACCGCTCACCCCGCCCAGACGAAGCGACAAAGCGCACGCACGGGCCCACGCACGGGCCCACGCAGGGCCCACACAGGGCCCACACAGGGCCCAGGCACGGGCCCACGCACGGGCCCACGCACGTTTGTCGCCGTCACACTGGGATTCAGACCAAAACTCAAAACTGGGATCGGGGCTCCGTCACCCGTCACGCTCCGTGCCACAATGGTGCTGCACGTTAGATGTTCCGCGCCAAGCTGCGAGGGGATTTGGATTGCTTCGTTCACGAGCGACGGGCGTCGTGCGATTGTGCGCGTTCAGCACGAGAGACTGCGAGCGACGTACAACTCTCTAGTTTGCCCAATGGGTGAGGGTGACCGACCATCCTGGCCATATATTTCTGTGTGCCCAGTCAAGAATTTGTGGTGGTTTGGTTTGGATCATCGATGCTATAAATGCCGATTAGCTGAGTGGCTCTACTCCACACACACAGACACACGCTTTATTTTTGGCAAAGAGCAGCATTTAAAGAGTTTCAAACCATGGAGGGAGGGGGGTGGAGCTGCCTCTACTCCTTGGCCGAGTCGAGTGTCACATTCGCCTCGACCCGGCATTTTACTTATAATACTGTGGAGGATTGAGCACGGCAGTTACTAAGAGGTGCTAGGCCTGCCATTATCAAGGTGGGCTCTGTGGTTCGCCTAGTTTCCCTGCTCGGTCGACTGCCCCCACCCTGCTTGAGTATGCGGAGGCTATCGGTGTCGAGCCTCGGCTTGTGTATTTTTCTGTTTTTGTATTTCCTCTGCAACACGGTGGTCCTTAGCCTTTACTGCAGCCTTGCAGCCCTTTGGTTCTCGCACTCCTTATCAAACATAGTTGAATGAGGTCGCTTCTTTAAAGCTAAGATAACTATGGAATTAATTTACCTTCTAAAAAAATATGGCATGTCCCGCACCCCCAGAAAGGACATCTCGCATTCCCAGGGGGTGCGTGCACGCCAGGTTAAAAGCCAGAACAGCGGGTCTCCTCCTCGCTTGTTCTCCATACGCGGCCGCGATGCCGATGTGGAGGTCGTACGGATGCTGTGTGAGCCTCGACGATACCACGACATTCAGGAGAAGCAGTCCACTGTACATTGTTTATCGACCGCACACAGTTACCTACACTTATGCAATTGTTCCCCCAAAAATGTTTTGTGCGGCTCAGCGTTCACTACCTAGGAAGGATTAGCACGGTCGCCTACGTAGGGTGCGAAAGAAGTTCAACACACGCGCACACACACACGTGTTCCCCGCGTCTCCTCGGCGTTGCTCGGTGCGCGGATGACGACGACGACGACGAGGACGACAACGGCACTGCTGCCGATCAACGCCGTCGCCCGCTGTCGCCTGCGCAGGTACCGCAAGCGGAGCCGGGAGCAGCTGGAGGCCGCCTCGTCGGGCTGGAAGGCGTTGGCGGCCGAGGACGTGCGGGTGCACGTGGGGGTCGAGCGGGAGGGTGGCGGCGGCGGCGGCGGCGGCGGCGGTGCCGCTGGGGGGGGGTGGAGCCCGGGCGCCGGCGCGCAGCTCGGGGACGGTGCGGCGGCGGCGGCGGCACCCGCGGGAGTGGACAATGGGGCCTTTGAGCCGGACAGCGGCCACCCGCGGGTGTGACCAAAAGCCGGACCGACGTCGCTTAGCTTCCTTCGAAACAAATACTCCCACCTGTGCGGCGCAGCGGGCACCTAATTGCAATTGCCGTGATGCCCTCTGTCCCATTTCGCGTCGCTAAACTGAGCCCGACGGCCCTCAGTCCCGCGGGAGCGCGAGCGCGAGCGAAGCCGTCGCGACCGCGTGGCGGCCTGCCCGTGACCAGCGCCCGTTGTCCCCCCGGAAGCGGCTCCCACCTCGAGCGGCCCCCGGCCAACGCGTTGCGCTCCCCGAGCTGCCGTGCTCGCGGCGCGCGCTGCGCACCGCGAGCACGGCAGTCGCTCGTTAGCTTACGGGTGGCATCGCAGGACGGCGCTAGGGCACCTACCGGACCCCGCTTGTGGCCGCCCCGGACGGTTCGATCCCGCACGAGCCATGCGGTGCAGTGCTTAGTTGACCAACATCGCTCTGCACACGATTCACCTGGAGCATAGGGGGGGGGGTGGGAGGGGGGGTAGAATCCCTGCAGCTTGCAGCCCTCAATCGCTGGCGGTTTTCACAGGGACTGGCCCTGTGACGCAGCCGGAAGGCTGCTCACGGCTGCGGGTGGCTACGACGATTGGTTTCTTTATTAGAACGTCGCAATGCATCACAATGCCGTAAGTCCTAATGCTTGCAGATTTCACAACACTACGTGTAACTTCTGAAAGTACAAATTGAAACACTTACTAATTGTTATCGTAACTTGGGAGTTAAAATGTAAATGTCTGAGTGGTGTTATTACAGGTTTAAGCATAACGTTCCTATACCCGTCAAGTGGTTTCTCTGACGTGCAATCACGAAAATAAACATTGAAGCGGAACAACGCGAGGGTGGACTCTGGCTACGCGATTCAAGCAAAACGTGCGCTCAGCGCATCTGTGAGATTGGGAATCCTGGCAACACGATCGTAAAAAAAAAAGTCGTAACGAGGTGAATAGGAATCCTCCTACAGACGACACCCAGTGCACGCCCCTCCAACCCTCTGACCCGGTCAACTCCTGCGTGCATGTCGGCATAATTTCTGTGACCCGACCTTTTAAAGTGAATGTATGACGTGAAATTTAACGGGCAGAGGATTGTGGCACTGTACCTTCTGTTAATCACCTCCGCATTTCCGAAATTTGCCGTGGAGATGTTACGTAGACCGTGGCCTTGCATGATGCTGAAGCTTTCACTCAATTTGGTCATGTAAGGCTGTGAAATCCAACAAATGCACAAAGCGTTAATAGAAAATACATTTGGACAAAGACATGCTGTTAAGCTAGGTGTGGTGCGAGCACTTTGGACTGTGAATGCTACACACGGATTGATTTACAAAGTGAAAGACCCACACTGTCGTGTTTGTGCCCCAGTGAAAGACCCACACTCTTGGTAAGAATTCCTAGGACGAGGCTTCATCATGTTGCTGGCATTTGCAAGAATCAGCCATATAACTAAAATAAAGAACATTTGAATCGGCGAGCAGATATGGCTCCTAACACAACTTATGACGAAATCATCCTCACGGTGCCTTCTCATGTTAGGTCTCAGGAGCCTAGTGGGACCTGGTTTATTGCTTGGATAGGAGACTGCCTCCTGCGATGCCAAGTGGCGTGAGCGTGGGTAGACGTGGCCAGGAGGTGGCAGTACCACGATGGCTCCGCGTGAGATTTGTGCCTCCTGCTTTGAGTATTGTCCCTTCCTGTGGGCAGATTTTTGTTCACGGATTCTCCATTTTCAACCCACATGCCAAACTTGACTAGGATTGGACAGATATCCTCAATGGTAAATACTGTCTGAAAAGAGTCTTGAGGCTTTCCTTTGTAAAGACCATTATTAATTTAATTGTAATGGGAAGGTGGGGAGGGGGAGTTTCTGTTCTGTGAATCCAGAAATTCCGAGTGATTCCCAGATACTGGACATGAGTGGCGAGTGAAAGTTGAACCGGTCCTGCAACCACCCCCTCTACACAGTGGAGGGGCACCTTCATCCACGAGCGGATTGTTAAAAGGGCTCTAAAATTATTAAGGAAAAACTAAAATTATTTCGATTTGTTCATTGTAAACGCAGGCAACTGTGCGGGAAAAACGTGGGACTGGAGTTCGATAGCGCCGATGGGTCTACGGGGTGGGCAGACGACAACAGAGGCGTGCTGTAGTTGGAGGGCGCTTGATCCAGTTGAAGAGCACGTGGTCAAACCCCAGTCGGGTCGGCTAGGCCCATCCTCCCTGCAGGGTTGATGGGCATACCGCTGTTTGAGGAGTCAACAGAAGTTGTCCTTTGCAGATACTGATGCTTGCCATGGGAATGTGGAATTGCTTGAAATTCCACATTCTTATACATCTACTGTGGCTTGGGGCTGCCACGGTAGATGTAAATACCACAAGTGCCTGTGTAAACTCCGGAAACGTTAGCGATTTGCCTCATTAAGTTATGGAAACGTCAACACATTTTTGCCAAAGATTGGACAAAAAGGGACATTTTCCAACAACGCATAAATCTATGGTCTGTTGACTTCAACGTAGGGCTCAGGACGACCCTAGTCCCAGGAACAAGGCAACATTACCGTGTTGATGGCAGTGAGTTTGTAAAGAAGCTCCTTTGCAGGTTCCATTTTCCAGGCAGTTTATTTCCTGATAACGTATTTACAAGGCGAGAGTACGACTAACACGTTTCACAGGGCTATGACCATCTGCAGCCCCGGTGGTTTCCACTAGATTCATCTCTAACAGTCCTTCTTGATGGTTTCCACCATGTCGATCTCCAACAGTCGGCCCCGAAGTCGTCCACCTGCAGTCGTCCTTCAGTCCCCAAGCCACGCCCTAATCGTGGGCCTTGCTCCCCTTTATCTACCCGCTCGGCCATGCCCCGGTAACTTCCAGCACTTTCCCCCGGTAGATTCTTCCAGCAGACTCTACCGTCTTCTACTTCCCTTCTCGAACCTTCCCTCGTACAGTACCCTGCACCTGTTTCCACCCATCTCCACTGACCCCACGATAACCGTTGCCATGTACAGTACCCTGCAAGTTCATTGGTTTCATAACGCCCTAATACGGTTCAACGGCACAAACGGCAGAAGAGCATGGCACGTGTCATGTTATCCTCGCGATTATATGGGCATCGGGACTTTGAATTCTATTACAGAACCCTCTATGAGAGCTGCCACAAATGGTAACTTGCAACAACAACCAGCCAGGTAGTCTTCAGGGTCTGTTTTACCGCGAACTTAATGTGCCCTCTAGAAATGTGCAGACGTTCGCCCGGGCGCTTTACCTGTAAAACGAATGCACGAGCAAGTGACTGAATACATTCCAGGCGGAGGCTACCACACGCACGTCCGACAGGACTCTGGCTTCTAGCTGGGTTGGGAGACCGTCATCTGGATTTATGATCTCGGCAGCACCAAGCTAGTCGTTGCATAAAATTACCCAGCAGCCATCCGGCTCTCGCCGCTGTGTACCAAACACACAGCTCATGCACAATCCCCTATTAAACACAAACATTTAAAACAATATTTGTATTCTAAAAACCATCTGATTTTCGCATTCAATCGGTCATTACCTTTTGAAAAGCGTCTTTCCAAAATGTTAAAAAAAATTTGTACAAAACGTCTCAACTAAATTTTCTGCAAGATAAACTAAACTCGTACTGTAATTAGCATAGAAAATGTGCCACCTCGCGGCGTTTGAGCCGCCCGTTGCTGGGCTCGCGAGCGTCACTCGCCATACGCGACGCTCGCGATTGCTTAGCGCGTGAACATCCCGGCTCACAGAAGCTCCCCTGGCCGTGGCTTCTCTGCTCTCTCAACAGCCCTGCAACGTCTTCCCCCTGTATTCTCAAACGGCTAAGCACATGGGAGTATCAGACGAATTCTTTGGCGACACTGCGCTGGCGGTGGTGCACAGGCTCAAACAGTAATAATCATAAAAAATCTCGACGCGTTCGTCAGTATTGCCGTGTGGCCTTAAAAGTAAGAGACGGTGGATAATGGGCGGTGTTTTGGCCGATGGCCTTCACAGTGCATAGAGAGAGGGGCTGGAGAGGTGCCGTGGGGCCTCTTGCGCTGTGAAGAATGGCCATTTCGCGACACGTCACCTATGGTACACCGTTTCTGATGAAGGCCACAGTGTGAATGCTTTTTTTGCATTGGTATAGACACACAGGTAAGCATTGGTAAACATTTTGACCGCACGTTCAAGCCAGACTGTTCGATCACAAAGCAACACACAAAGCCGCTCATTCCCACTCTCCCAGACGCCGGCTGGGCACCGTAGGATCCCGAAAACTCGTGGTCGCAAACTCCACGCTGGGGGTTTGGCAGCGGGCCCTCACAAGCTCCGGACTCTCACGCCTCCCAACGGTAAAACGGGCGCCCGGCGCCGCCCTGGGTCACCAGACGTCGCACTTGTTCCGCGGGTTCATCGGCGACGCCGCGGGGCAGTTGAACGTGGCGGCGAACTCGGCAGAGTTGGACAGCGACGCGAGCGTCCGGAGGCGCGCGGGGCTGTGCGTGTCCCGCAGCAGGAGCTGGCGCCGGCGGTCCTCCGCCGTCTCCGTGGAGCACCACACCTGCGGCACGAAGCGCGCGACGCCAAGGCTGCTTTTGGTCGGCGCTAAGTGGGCCCGCCCCCCCCGAGGCTCGGCTATGGGCAGGTGGTGAATCGGGCGTTGGTTTTTGGGCATGTTGTGCAAGTCCCTCGACGTCCCCCGTGTGTGTGTGTGCGCCGAGCGGTTCTGGGTGCAGGTTACTATACATCAAGGGGAAATTGGCAACACTGACCACGAACGCACGTGGATGAAAAACTGAACATTAGCAGGGAGATAAGAGGGAAGATTACGGTGCCGAGAGGTGAACGACGTTGAGAGGTGAGCGGCGACGAGAGTTGTGTGGTCACGGTGCCGTACGTGGCGTTGTGTGAAACGCTGAATCGGGAGCTCGTGATGACTGCATCCTACCTGAGAGAAGGCTGTGAAGAAAATTTGCCGGTCGGTGAGATTCCTCACTGGCAGGAAGGCTTCCTCACCCCTCTCCTCTGTCCACATCTCGTAGGCCTACAAAGACAAAGATCCCCCCGTGTATCCTTAGCAGAATGTTGGGGCAAGTGCTGTTAGCGAGCACCTATGAAGGCCGGCACTGCACACCCAATCGCCTTTTTCTTCCCAGTGGCGATGTTTACAGATGGCACCAGGTACTCATTTTGGGGCTCAGTCGACCTAGGGGAGGCCCAGGACCGGTTCAGATAATAGTCACTGGCGTTGGCCGTGAGCGGGAATCGAACTCGGGATCGCCGGGTTCGTAGCGCAGCGTAGCGCTACACTGTCGCTCCCCACACAAAGATAAAGATCCCCCGTGTTGCTTTACAGACTGTTGAGGCAAGTGCTGTTAGCGAGCACCTATGAAGGCCGGCACTGTGGCGCACGAGGGGGTGGGTGGCCAGCACCGCACTCGGTCCGCCATTATCTCCCCAGTGGCGATGTTCACACACACCGCACCGGGTACTCATTTTGAGGCCGAGTCAACCTAGAGGAGGCCACCGCCATGAGGTGCCCGTGGCGCTGCGGACCCGGAAGGCCGTCTTGATGCCGCCCAGGTCGGCGACGTTCTCCCCCAGGGTCTGCCGGCCGCTGAATCGCTCCTCGCCGCCCGCAGCCCAGCGCTCGTAGAGCTCCACCAAGCAGTCGCTGCGCTGCTTGAACGCGGCGAGCGACGCGCTCGACCACCACGTACGCATCCGGCCCTGGCCGTCGAACCTCCGGCCTGCACGCGCAGTCACGGTCGCGACGCGAAGCCGATGATCTCTGCGCGTGTTGGTGATCCCTCTCCATGCCGGTGATCTCTGTGCGTGTTGGTGATCCCTCTCCATGCCGATGATCTCTGTGCGTGTTGGTGATCCCTCTCCATGCCGATGATCTCTGTGCGTGTTGGTGATCCCTCTCCGTGCCGATGATCTCTGTGCGTGTTGGTGATCCCTCTCCATGCCGATGATCTCTGTGCGTGTTGGTGATCCCTCTCCATGCCGATGATCTCTGCGCGTGTTGGTGATCCCTCTCCATGCCGATGATCTCTGTGCGTGTTGGTGATCCCTCTCCGTGCCGATGATCTCTGCGCGTGTTGGTGATCCCTCTCCATGCCGGTCATCTCTGTGCGTGTTGGTGATCCCTCTCCATGCCGATGATCTCTGTGCGTGTTGGTGATCCCTCTCCATGCCGATGATCTCTGTGCGTGTTGGTGATCCCTCTCCTCTGTGCATTTATTTATGTTTGAGGGGGCAGCACCCGTAGAAAGAATCAGGAGCACGATTGTTATCTTGTACGAATGCCGTGCGTTCGCTACGCTGGTTCTGACGCAAGTTTTCAATAAATGGCACCAACGGCTCCGCACAGATGCCATGGTGACCATACCCTGTTCCCGTCTCGTCGGAACGTTCCCCGAGCACAACCAAGGTTGGAGTTCTACGCAAGAAAGGGCGCAAGGAGGCTGCACGAGCGCATGGCACCTACGCCAGCGCAATGACCGCGCCAGCTCCGACCGGCAACCAAACGCGTTCCGTGTGCCCTGAGTGCCGACGGCCCAGAGGCGAACGCCACACTCTCGACTTCCGCTAGTTTACGTTTTTACCGGTCCACGCGTGAATTAAGAACGACAATGTTGGATTCGCCGTGAATCAAAAAAACAACGCGCGGGACTGTGTTCGCCTTGTCTGTGACGCGGAAGTTGGCATTGCACCGCACCTTGGTCGTCGAACGCGTGAGTCACTTCGTGGCCGATGACGACGCCAATTTTGCCGAAATTCACCGCCCTGAAACCCACGAGCAGAACGACGCACAGAGCTCCATCATCATGCTACAGTCATCACACAGACCTCCATCATCATCCTACAGTCATCACACAGACCTCCATCATCATCCTACAGTCATCACACAGACCTCCATCATCCTACAGTCATCACACAGACCTCCATCATCATCCTACAGTCAGCACACAGACCTCCATCATCCTACAGTCAGCACACAGACCTCCATCATCCTACAGTCAGCACACAGACCTCCATCATCATCCTACAGTCATCACACAGACCTCCATCATCATCCTACAGTCATCACACATACCTCCATCATCATCCTACAGTCATCACACAGACCTCCATCATCATCCTACAGTCAGCACACAGACCTCCATCATCCTACAGTCAGCACACAGACCTCCATCATCCTACAGTCATCATACAGACCTCCATCGTCCTAGAGTTAATAGACGAGCGTGCACGACACATCAACCTCCAACACGTCGACACGTCGACCAAAGATTGTCCCATAAACACAGGCATGTAATCTTAGGTGGGTACACGGCATTAAATAAAAATTTTTAAAAATATTTTCTTCAGGATGTCGGCATCGCTGGTGATGCGGCAGTTATGGTGGTCCCCATCGCGAGCTGCGATTGGGTCGGGACAATATTTGTGACAGGGTCGGCACTGGGCCTTCTCCTTGGCCCGCTGAATGCCACTCGCAGCAGCGCTGCATGGGAGCTCAAATGATGTCTCACACCAATGGTATAACGTGGATTATGACCGCTACACGCTGGTTTTCTCAGCCGATATTATGGTGTCTAATGACAGAGATGTGGTCAATATCGTGACGTGGCCTAACCCAAAAATCATAATCAACCGTGCATGTGGAATTGCGCGTTGTGGTGCATTATGGGTACAAGCGTTTACAATCAGAAACTCTGTTCTGTCTCCACATATCACGAATAATGTTTAGTCCACTGGCCTATCCACACTCTCAATCGCTTGGCGCTCATTGAAGAAATCTTTTTAGTATTGTTTTTTTTTACTTTTTTTTCCTCCAATATTATTCCAAATGCTTCATCGGCACTGTGTCACGAGGCGAGTAAATTAGCTGTCACAGTAAGCAGTGCATCACACTGCAGATATCACAGCGCTGCTTCAGAAGTCACCTCAACAGGCCTCTCACATCTAGAACTAGACGGAACTCCAATTCCCTTGCAGAGAGCGTTCGTCTCACGGAATTCAAAACTGACATTTGTATTCCCCAAGGCAGTGATTATGCCGAAGTGACGAAGCCGAGTCTCGTATGGTTGTTCGGTCATTGGTGACCAGGGTTGAGACCAGCAACTAAGCTACACCTTGGGAAGCATGTCAATCACGAGTGGCCGCTGGAATTCAAAACGCGAACCCTAGCGATGTTGGCGCAGTACTCCGACACAGCTGGTGATCATCTGTGTCAACCGCCATTTGTAGGTTTTTATGGGCCGTGTGTCAAAAGGTTTTTTGTTTTCGGCGTTCTGCCAACACTAAATATTACGATAGACTCGAAGAGCACGGGGGCCTCCGTCTCCCGGGACGCCACGCGCTGAAGGCAGGCAGGCATGCAGTGCGCCGAGGGGTGCGTTGCCGGCGTACATGGGGAAGTCTCCGTGGAAAAGCGGCGGCTGGAACAGCGCCGCGGGGAGAACGACGGTGTTCTCCTCCGGGGAGTAGTACGCGTTGGCCGTCTGGGGGTTCATGCTCCACCTTCGGCACGCGCACGCACGCACGAGTGTGAACAAACGCGCGGACGCTCACGTGTAGGTATGGAAAGCAGCGAGCACAGAGGGTCCGCTTCATAGAGCAATGACGATGTCGGCGTGTAAGGCGCCGCGCACGGCCCTCGCTCGCTCTCCAAGAGAAGAGACTCAGATGCACCAGGAGAGAGGAACCACAGACGGGCGGGAAAGCAGAAGCAGCGGTGAGGCCACGCCAAATTTCCTTCCCAAGCTCTGCTCCGCTACAGATATTAAGATGTTATCGGGCCAATGGATGAGTGGTTACGTGTAACGTGTAGTAAGCATACACGTCTATGTCGTGTCGTTAATGCTTTAAGTTGCATCTGTACAAGAGAGAAAAATAAGTTTAATATGGCTTTTTTTGCGAGACATACTCGCACACCCAGGCTAATTCAACTATTCACATAGTCGCACTTTTGCTGAATTTCTTGGGGGGGGGGGGGTAAAAAAAAACACAATCCCCTTCGTGATTAATCGAGGGCAAAAGGCCAATAAACACAACACAGCGATGGACTGCGCTGGCAGTGGTGAACAAAGCACGCAAATTAAACCTCCCCTGGCACCAATGGCCCTTGCCACTGCATCACAGCAGAAGCGCACGCGCACGTGGGCCTAACGTTTCTGAACCATATCTCAAAATGTGACTGGCACACATTTGTTTATGTTGAAAGCGAGTCACACCTCCGATTAGCACGGTTGGCTACGTACGGTGCGAAAGTCGCTCAACGTCCGGGTGTTCCGGTTTTCCCCTCCGCATTTCGACTCAAATGCGCGTTCAGAGTATTTGTCGACTGCTATAAATTTCCACGCGATGATCAGCCACTTCGTTGAGCTTTCGTTTTTGATAGCCAGGTCGGCTTCAGAAAAAAAGAGCTACACATCTCAGAGGGCCCCCCTAACCTGGTCAAATTAAAAAAGAGTAAAAAAAGAGTTGAAAGCCATGATGAATCGTGAATGTGTCTGCACGCCATTTATGAGTGGGTCCCCTTGGCAGTAAGGGTTCCCGACGGAGGAGGACAGAGGCCTCACAACGCACCGATTGTTGTCGTTGTTGTCCACAGGCACGCTCAGCTGCTGCTGCAGGGTTTCCCTCCGTGTCCGGTACAGCTCCAGCGTGTTCTCAAATAAGCTTCCCGACACCGTGACCTGAAAGGGCCGTGGTTTTCCGACAGATCTGCTCCGATCGGCGATGTCACAAACGCGCAGCGCAACCGCCATGCGTCTACGGTCTGAACTTGCGTTGAACTTACGTTTAGCCGTTTCGGATTTCTCGCGAGTAGTCGGCACCCCCATAAGATGATTTCTTATTATTTTTCAATTTATATTTTCAATGTTGTTTCAAACAAAAACATCGTTTTCAATCCCATGATGTGTGCGTTGACTGAGGGTTGAGGCACCAAAGTGACACTGGGCGTGGAGAAACAGTGGGTTCCGATCTGAGCGACAACTCACGTTGGCGTACAATCGATCCAGGAATCCTGGCTCAAGCATCCCTTGCGGATACCCCACTTGAAATTTGATGGACATGGACTGTGGAGAAAAGGCACAAAACGCGTATACCATAGCGGTTACATGGCGTGGCGCGGTGGTAATGGTATCACATCAGTGTGACTGAAGCACATCTACACGTATTATAACCCTTGCCGAGACGTCCGCGAATTGCAGGGTGTGGTGGTGGTTGTCGATCACTGCTGAATTACTCGCGAACGCGTAAGTGCTCCGGCATGAATTTCTATTCAGAGAGGTGTAGCGCCGCTGTGTTTAAAAACATTGTCACTCACCGCAGAGAACTGTAGCGACACGACCGCACTCTACGATATCTGGCGCCAAACCGTGCTACACGACCTCCCGTGTAGCCTTTTACTTCCGATCCCACTTCGTTCTTCGATGATGTAAATGTACGTCATCGGAAAACGCAATCCGAAGGAAAAACTGTCTCCTCCATCGGAACGGTAAAGGGTTGAAGGCCAGGGAGCAGTGGCGGTACTGTCCTGTCTGAAGGTCCAGATGGTGTCTTTTTTGTTGTTCGGTGCTCACTGTGTTTTTTTGTCTGGGCAACTCGGCTCTCAGGAATGTGCCCAGAAAGCCCATCCTGGATTTGGGCTGACACGCACCCAGTCCAACCCGAGCCATTTGGGAGCTGATTAGAGTTCAGATTCACGTTGGACCGAGTGTTGCGGCGCATCTCCAGGGCCAGATTTACTGGGCAAGGGCTCGTGGACCAGTCCAACCCTCGGTGCGAACTTCCCTTTCACTGTTTGGATGGAAACTTGTTATTATTGCTTCACACATCACCCATCAGCTTCCTATAAGCCATCATTTGACGCCCACCAGCTGGTGCCCACCAGCTGAAGCTCACCAGTTGATGCCCACCAGCTGATGCCCACCAGCTGATGCCCACCAGCTGAAGCCCACCAATTGATGCCCACCAGCTGAAGCTCACCAGTTGATGCCCACCAGCTGATGCCCACCAGCTGATGCCCACCAGCTGAAGCCCACCATTTGATGCCCACCAGCTGAAGCTCACCAGTTGATGCCCACCAGCTGATGCCCACCAATTGGTGCCCACCAGCTGATTGCCCACCAGTTGATGCACACCAGCTGATTGCCCACCAATAGCCCAGCCGCCCTTGCCCGCGAGGTGCCGTGCATGCCCCCTACCTTCTCTTTGGCTGCCGCGCGAGTCTTGCCGTCCATCCACGCGACGCTGTCCAGGTTGCTCACGAATGCATTTCGTATCCTTGTGACGATGTCCTCCGCCTGCAAGGTTCATCGACCGTTTGTTCATGGGGAGGAGGGAAACCAAGTTAAAAGTTTACGGGACCCATTTTGCCAGTATCAAGATGATGAACATTTAAAAGAAAAAAAGAATAGGTTTTACCCTTTCCAGCAAGAATACAGGAGGTGTTTAGATGTTCAAACACCAAATCGACAGTCATCACGCAGCATCAAGTCTGCATTAACCACGCATCCTTGTGGTAAAACGTGCAAACAAACATCCTATTATAACGAGGCCGTAGCCATGGAGTCAACATTGTGGGGGGGACCAAATCTTCCAGGGGTTCTGGGGGCCCCCCCCCCCAGAATTTTTTAAAAATTTTAAAACGCATTTCCTGCCTAAAATATAAAAAAATAATTAACTAACACATGGGATGGACTTTTTATTTACTTATTACAATAATGTCTAATAGTGTTATTGTATTTACATTGCTCTGTTTTTACTTTTTACCATTTCTTGTTTCATTGTATGTAATGGCAGAGATTAGGGATTAATAAAGCACAACCATAACCACAATCATATAAACAGAAATCTATGCGTTGATTTATATGAAGACAAGTCCAGACATTGTGGACAAGGTTTAGCAAATTGTTGTTTTTATTTACATAGCATAGCAATTAAAAATATATATTGTTTAAATCAATATATTGGGGGGAGGGAACATTTTGAGCATATTTGAATATTGGGCGGGATGTGTCCCCCCCAAAATACATTATAATTACGGCCTTGTATTATAATGTACGCAATGTTTTACCACAAGCATGTGTGGTTAATGCAGACTTGATGCCTTGTGATAGCTGTCGATTTGGTGTTTGAACATCTTAAACACCTCCTATTCCTGCCAAATAAGGGAAAGCCTTTTTTATTTTAAAGCCCAAGTTGAAGTTTGCTTTGGTGTTCAGTTACAAAGTGTCACACACGACGACATCAGCATGGCAAGCAAAGCCCTGCGACACAGCAGTCTACCCGTGGGGGCGGCCGCTGCTGGTACTGACTGCTACTGCTGGTTGCTACTGCTGACTGCTGCTGCTGACTGCTGCTGCTGACTGCTACTGCTGACTGCTGCTGACTGCTGCTGACTGCTGCTGCTGACTGCTGCTGACTGCTACTGCTAATGCTGACTGCTGACTGCTGCTGCTGACTGCTACTGCTGGCCGCTGCTGCTGACTGCTGCTGACTGCTGCTGCTGGCTGCTGCTGCTGCTGACTGCTGCTGACTGATGCTGCTGGCTGCTGCTGCTGACTGCTACTGCTGAATGCTGCTGACTGCTGCTGCTGCTGGCTGCTGCTGCTGGCTGCTGCTGCTGCTGACTGCTGCTGCTGGCTGCTGACTGCTGCTGACTGCTGTTGCTGACTGCTGCTGGCTGCTGCTGCTGACTGCTGTTGCTGACTGCTGCTGACTGCTGCTGACTGCTGCTGCTGACTGCTGTTGCTGACTGCTGCTGGCTGCTGCTGCTGGCTGCTGCTGCTGACTGCTGCTGCTACTGCTGGCTGCTACTACTACTGCTGCTGCTTGCTGCTGCTGACTGCTGCTACTACTACTGCTGCTACTACTACTGCTGCTGCTACTACTACCGCTGCTGTCTGCTGCTGCTGCTGCTGTCTGCTGCTACTACTGCTGGCTGCTGCTGGCTGCTGCTGCTACTACTACTGCTGCTACTACTACTGCTGCTGCTACTACTACTGCTGCTGTCTGCTGCTGCTGCTGACTGCTGCTGGCTGCTGCTGACTGCTGGCTGCTACTACTACTGCTGCTACTGCCTACCACTGCTGCTACCACTGCTGCAGAGCGTGCGCTGTGGCTCGTACCATGCGCCGCTGCGTTTCATTAAACGTGGCCCTCGCGTAGAGAGCTCCCAGGCCCAGGGGCAGGGCCCGGTTGGTCTCCTCCACGCAGAACTCCCAGCGCGCTCGCGACTCGACCTGCGGGCGCACAGACAGCGCGCGGGTTAGAGCGGAGCCACCGGCGGACAGAAGCCAGCAGCTGCCTGGTGCCGCCGCCACTGCTGCTGATGTGTGGACGAGATTAGGTGAAGACAGCATCGTGAACATTGGCCATAAATGATCAACATTCACATCACGTAGACGCACAGTGTGCCACCCACTGGAGGCTGAAAATGAAGAATGTGAAGTCTATATTCTTAGTTCTTTCGGTAAAGTCACGTTGAAGGGAAACAACAAAATAATAATATATATATAAAACAATAAAAAAAATTCTCACGACGTTTCGACCATAACACAAACGGTCGTCTTCAGGTGTGTTATGGTCGAAACGTCGTGAGAATCTTTATTGTTTTATATATATTTTATTATTTTGTTGTTTCCCTTCAACGTGACTTTACCGAAAGAACTAAGAATATGAATTACTGCAGTCACGAAAGCTTTAAATCAAAATTTAAATGTGAAGTCTATCGCGGAGTTTCACGCTGCATGGCAGAGTGTGGCAGCAAGTGACCGTGAACGTGGTACGAATATTTAAATTCGCTAAGACAGATTTTGTTTTACGCTCACCGAGTCGTTTTCAGGAGGGTCCTGCTGTAAACTTTGCAGGAGAAGGCGACGTTGCCGTCAGTGCCGGATTATCCCAGTAGGGGCCCCGCACTTTCAAGGGCCCCGCGCTAAACGCTTTCAAGCGATCAATTCCGGTCCAGTGGTTCTGCACTTGCTCTATTACTGTAGTACTATACCGCCTTCAAATTTCATGAACGACTGGGTGTTTAAGGTTAGCCATTTGTCGTATTATCCGGCTGTATAGCAAATGCAAGTTCAAATTGTGTGTGTTTATTCATTTTACGTATGGCCCCTTTATAACATATGCTGCAGGCCCTGCACTAGCTTCATCCGGCACTGGTTTCCGTCGACTGTTGCAATTGAGGAATCCATTTGAAGCGTAAATTCTCGAAACCGGACAGTGACGCTACGCTCGTGTCTGAAGCCGTAGGCGAGTCGTGCTTTGCCGTTGAAACGCACCCGCGGTATTGACCGGGGCGGACCTCTGCAACAGGCGCGATGGCTCGGCCCCATGTCGATGTCCCGACGTCAGAACAGCGAATCTTTATTTAGACTGCAGGAGGAGGAATCCGATGAGCTATGAAGCTCTTTTCCACAGATGCCAGTAGCGGCACGGGGTAAGAACCGTCACAACAAACTATACAACAATCTACACGATTAAACAACTCACTACAGGAGGCTGCTATGGTGTCACAGGATGCATGCCTAATGCAGCCAATCGGAGGCGATGCCACAGGGTCAGCGACCAATGGGAAGCGTCGATATTTCACCGATTCATGCGACAGCTTTACAGCGCCACCACAGCCACTCAACCAACTCACATTGTCCGCTCCGTGGATTGCCACCATTAGGTCTTGCTTGGCATCCTCATACCTACCATCCAAACTGGGCAACAGCTGCCGGACGAGGCTCCACAGTGCATACAGACGCAGCACTCTGCCAGAGAGAAAAAAAGACAAAGATCCCCCGTATAGCCTTAGACTGTTGGGGCAAGTGCTGTTAGTGAGCACCTATGAAGGCCGGCACGACGCAAGAAGGGGTGGGTGGCCCAGCCGCCTTTGTCTCCCCAGTGGCGATGTTTACACACCGCACCAGATACTCATTTGAGGCTGAGTAGAGAGGAGGCCCAGGACCGGTTCAGATAATCGTCACTGGTGTTGGCCGTGAGCGGGAATCGAACTCTGGTGGCCAGGTTCGTAGTGCAGCGCGCTGACCGCTGCACTGCCAACACACACAGACACACGCACACGTGTGTCTGTGTGTGTCAGGGGCGCTTCTGTTGTCCGGACAACATCAGCACCTAGCGCTGCCAAGCTGACCGCACGCTCTATGAAATTAATTTCAGAATCAGGATCAGGAGTTTGTTCTCCGAGTAAATAACCCACAGAGCCATGCGGCTCTCTTTCAAGCGTGACTCGGCCAGCAGGCAGACACGGCAGCAAGTGTTACAAATTCACAACTAAACTTGATATCAAATATCATTGATAAGAAGCAAGCAACTAAAACGATACGCTCTCACAAAACAATTATGTGCATTCACAATTGTAATGTTTGGACCTCAATAGTGTCTGTTTATAAGGAGTAGAGGCATGGCAGAGGGAGACACCAGGGTTGGTTACAATGCTTTGGAGCAGCAGCAGCAGCTACACACAGCTACCAACCCCGTGTTCTTGTGCAGGGTAATTGAGTTTGCAGGTCCGTACGTTGTACAGCCGTTTCAACACGGGCAACATGTTTCGTCTAATTGTTCGCGTTTCTCCCTTGTAATGAGACTTTTGTAGGATGAACGTTGAGATTTAAAGGGGCACGGGGTGACCAATAAGTTCTGAATTTGTCTGTAACAAGGTAGGCACAGGTAAGGGGTTGACAGGTATGGCTACATGAAACTCTTTTGAAGCAAGTTGCTTTTAGGGAATCTCGTGAACAATTAATCAGACGCCTCGCTGTTTGTTTCGGATTTCATAATAAATCTGATAGATCCCTCCCTCCCCCCTTCCCTCCACCCTCCCTCCCCCCCCCCCTTCTTCCCCCCGCTCCCTCCCTATTTCTTCTTCCTTCACCTTCCCATATAAGAGCACAACGCGCTCCCCGCTCTCGGGGTCCCCACTCGGTGGGGTAGCAGCGAGCCCAATCTCCCCCCTTCTCTAAACTCTTGTGCACAGCGTTGGGGACCTGTGTCAGCAGAGTTTCTGTCTCGCCCCTCGCTACGTCGCGGCTTGTGCTCTAATCAGACACAAATCTGATTAAAGTGCAGATCTTTGGGTGATTGCCTTATGAATGAATATCGCGCAATGACAGAAAGAGTATTCATGTCACCATAATGACTGTGGCCAATCTGATTTAATACTAATGTCTCGGTAATTTTAATAGAGTATTTATTTTACTGAAACAGTCCACACGCGTACTCATTTTTCGAAAAAGAACGCCTTCATGTTACAGTACAATTATGATTCGTGAGAGCAATCTCAATGAGATCACATCTCAAAAGGCTGTGCAAATTGTGGGTCATGTGCGTACAGATAATGTGAATCGGGATCTATTTTGAATACGGGAAGGACTGAGCAACACCAGCTCAGGGGGGCACACAGGCAACATGATGTGGTGAATGTGGAGTCTTCCTCTTTCGATGAGGGGCTGCTGATGTTGATGCAGAGCAACCACCACGATTTCACATGCACGTGGTCAAGACATAAAACCGCGTCAGGAGCAGTGGCGGAATGTATCGCTGTGATGTCTCCTTCGTATTTGTGGTTCGGGGCACTGCGTCATTATACGTTGTACGATTTGTTCTGGATAACCTCAGTTGCACACTAGAAAGTTTTTTTTTAATTTATTTTCCATTTGTGCGTCAGGTATCCGCATCTGCCGTGGTTTGTGCAGTGGATGCGGTTTAGGGTGGACCATGAGCTTCGTGGAAGATCAAACCCAGGGGACTTCTGGGTTTGTGCAGTGAAAACACTTCACACACACACGCGTTTTTATTTTGGGCTGAAAGTCGTTCTTAAGGGGAAGGAATTACTTCACGACGCAAACTAACAAGTGATACTCTTTGGTTTTATTCGGTGAAGTCACGTAGGTAAAATAAATTAAAAGAAAATTAATAAAAGAAAACAATTGAATCAGGACGTTTCGGAGGCAACACAAGCTTCCGTCTTCAGGTGGAATAGTCACAGCAGAATATCTGTGTCAAGTGCACAGCTCTGAGACGATCGGGTTTATATCTAGGTTAAGGGGGGGGGGGGGAGGAGCCAGAAAGGAACGTGGGTGGGTGGGAGGGCTGAGTTAAGCCGTTTTTGAAAACGAAAGAAGCAGCTAAAGTTTGGCATACCACCACTGAAAATTGCTGTACAATTAAAAGGTAGCTAACGTTTGACTTGATTTATAACGTCTTTCCAATGGTTGCTTAATTTGAAACCATCCTCTCGGTTGAAGTTGTGTCTGTGTTTGTATATCTGGATGGCCTCGTGGACAAATCTCTGGTAATAACCGGGAGGTTTGCAGAGTACCTTGGTATCGGAGAAAACTATATCATGATAACCCACAGCGTTGTAACAGTGATCAGCCACGGCAGAATAATTCGTTCTGCCGTGTTTTAAATCTGATTTGTGCTCGCGAATTCGGTCAGAGATATGTCGTTTCGTCTCCCCGATATAGCAATCACCGCAGATAATTTGTAAACATCGGGGTACTGTAAGTCAGGAATGACATCCTTTATGGATGGGATCAGATTACAGATTTTGTGTACTGTTTTGAACCGGACCTGGATCTTGTGTTTGTTTAGAATTTTGGAAATCTTTTTAGTAACGCCTGCTATGTATGGTAACGTGATGATTTTGGTCGGAGTATCAAGTAGTTGTTTCTGTATGGTGGGAGAAACAGCTTGGCGGATGGTACGGTCAGAGTATCCGTTCATCTTGAGGGCCAGATGTACATGTTTTAATTCACTGGTCAGGTGGTGTTGGTCAGAAATGCAATGTGCCCTGTGGTATAACATTTTGATGAGAGAATTCTTTTGAGCTGGGTGGTGGTGGGACTCAGGTGTCAAGTAGGAGTCTGTGTGGATGGGCTTCCTGTAAACAGAATGTCCCAAAGAGCCATCAGATCTCCTCTCAAACAGAACATCCAAGAATGGCAGCTTGCCATCTTTCTCCACTTCCATGGTGAATTTGATGGAAGGGTGTCTGGAATTGATGTGGTCTAGGAAAAGGTTCAAAGCTGGCAGGCCATGTGGCCAAATGATGAAAGTATCATCCACATATCTCTTCCACAGGGAAGGACTGAGGGTGGATGTCTGGATGGTGTCTGATTCAAATTTCTCCATGAAAACATTGGCTCATACTGGTGATAAGAGGGAACCCATAGGGGTACCCTCATTTTGTTTGTAGAAGGTGCCATTCCAAGTAAAGTAGGTGTTGGTGAGGCAGTGCCTAAAAAGTTTCAAATCTAGAATTAACAAGTGATACTTTACACTCATATCGGTGCTACCTTTACAGTCCGACACCGCGTGGCCCTGCTGGTTAGGCTCACCTTCTGTCTGTGTTGTTTACGAGGTCAAACGCGCTGTGGAAGTATTCCTTGTTATCGATCAGCACGGTTCTTTGGCTGTACGTAGGCAGTGGGTAAAACACCTCATGGAAATATTGGGTCCAGTCGAGGAATGGTGACATATCCTTAAGGGGTAAGGAAAAATAAAATAAAATAAAACGCCAAGAATATTAAACTACATTATCACTTTTTCCAAACTTTACCGAGACATCTATTGCTTACAGTAAACGGAATGTGTGTGTGGCACACGATTTATGTACTTTGTACCCATCACATGGATTGTAAAAGCTCAAGTTGTACCCTCCACAATACAAAAGTGACAAAAAGCAAGTAATCTTCCCGATGTATTTACATTCATAATCTGTATTTATCCTGGAGGAATCCGATGAGCTGTGAAGCTCTTTTTCACAGATGACCACTTGGGAACAAATTTCCATAATATTTGAAGCTTAGGACTGCGGGGGAGTGGAAGCGCCGGGGGTTTGTGGTGTGAAGGGGTCCTGTGATGATGTTTCTTGTCAGAACTGGGTGGGCAGGCTGACAGCCATCGAATTGTCCAGTGAGCCACAGTGAGCCACAATGAGCCACAATGAGCCACAGTGAGCCACAGTGAGCCACAATGAGCCACAGTGAGCCACAGTGAGCCACAATGAGCCACAGTGAGCCACAATGAGCCACAGTGAGCCACAGTGAGCCACAATGAGCCAGTGAGCCACAGTGAGCCACAGTGAGCCACAGTGAGCCAGTGAGCCACAATGAGCCACAGTGAGCCACAGTGAGCCACAGTGAGCCAGTGAGCCACAATGAGCCACAATGAGCCACAATGAGCCAGTGAGCCACAGTGAGCCACAGTGAGCCAGTGAGCCACAATGAGCCACAATGAGCCACAGTGAGCCACAATGAGCCAGTGAGCCACAGTGAGCCACAGTGAGTCACAGTGAGCCATAGTGAGTCACAGTGAGCCAGTGAGCCACAATGAGCCACAGTGAGCCACAATGAGCCACAGTGAGCCACAATGAGCCACAGTGAGCCACAATGAGCCAGTGAGCCACAGTGAGCTACAGTGAGCCACAGTGAATCACGGTGAGCCAGTGAGCCACAGTGCGCCAGTGAGCCACAATGAGCCACAGTGAGCCACAATGAGCCACTGTGAGCCACAGTGAGCCACAGTGCGCCACAATGAGTCACAGTGAGCCACAGTGAGCCAGTGAGCCACAGTGAGCCACAATGAGCCAGTGAGCCACAGTGAGCCACAGTGAGCCACAATGAGCCACAGTGAGCCACAGTGAGCCAGTGAGCCACAATGAGCCACAGTGAGCCAGTGAGCCACAATGAGCCACAATGAGCCACAGTGAGCCACAGTGAGCCACAGTGAGCCAGTGAGCCACAATGAGCCACAATGAGCCACAATGAGCCAGTGAGCCACAGTGAGCCACAGTGAGTCACAGTGAGCCATAGTGAGTCACAGTGAGCCAGTGAGCCACAATGAGCCACAGTGAGCCACAATGAGCCACAGTGAGCCACAATGAGCCACAGTGAGCCACAATGAGCCAGTGAGCCACAGTGAGCTACAGTGAGCCACAGTGAATCACGGTGAGCCAGTGAGCCACAGTGAGCCACAGTGCGCCACAATGAGTCACAGTGAGCCAGTGAGCCACAGTGAGCCACAGTGAGCCACAATGAGCCACAGTGAGCCACAGTGAGCCACAGTGAGTCACAGTGAGCCATAGTGAGTCACAGTGAGCCAGTGAGCCACAGTGCGCCAGTGAGCCACAATGAGCCACAGTGAGCCACAATGAGCCACTGTGAGCCACAGTGAGCCACAGTGAGCCACAATGAGCCACAGTGAGCCACAGTGCGCCAATGAGCCACAGTGAGCCACAATGAGCCACAGTGCACCAATGAGCCACAGTGAGCCACAATGAGCCAGTGAGCCACAGTGAGCCACAATAAGCCACAGTGAGCCACAGTGAGCCAGTGAGCCACAGTGAGCCACAATGAGTCACAGTGAGCCACAATGAGCCAGTGAGCCACAGTGAGCTACAGTGAGCCACAGTGAATCACGGTGAGCCAGTGAGCCACAGTGAGCCACAGTGCGCCACAATGAGTCACAGTGAGCCACAGTGAGCCAGTGAGCCACAGTGAGCCACAGTGAGCCACAGTGCGCCACAATGAGCCACAGTGAGCCACAGTGAGCCACAATGAGCCACAGTGAGCCACAGTGAGCCACAGTGAGTCACAGTGAGTCACAGTGAGCCAGTGAGCCACAGTGCACCAGTGAGCCACAATGAGCCACAGTGAGCCACAATGAGCCACTGTGAGCCACAGTGAGCCACAATGAGCCACAGTGAGCCACGGTGAGCCACAGTGCGCCAATGAGCCACAATGAGCCACAGTGCACCAATGAGCCACAGTGAACCACAATGAGCCAGTGAGCCACAGTGAGCCACAATAAGCCACAGTGAGCCAGTGAGCCACAATGAGCCACAATGAGCCACAGTGAGCCACAATGAGCCAGTGAGCCACAGTGAGCCACAGTGAGTCACAGTGAGCCATAGTGAGTCACAGTGAGCCAGTGAGCCACAATGAGCCACAGTGAGCCACAATGAGCCACAGTGAGCCACAATGAGCCACAGTGAGCCACAATGAGCCAGTGAGCCACAGTGAGCTACAGTGAGCCACAGTGAATCACGGTGAGCCAGTGAGCCACAGTGAGCCACAGTGCGCCACAATGAGCCACAGTGAGCCACAGTGAGCCACAGTGAGCCACAATGAGCCACAGTGAGCCACAGTGAGCCACAGTGAGTCACAGTGAGCCATAGTGAGTCACAGTGAGCCAGTGAGCCACAGTGCGCCAGTGAGCCACAATGAGCCACAGTGAGCCACAATGAGCCACTGTGAGCCACAGTGAGCCACAGTGAGCCACAATGAGCCACAGTGAGCCACAGTGCGCCAATGAGCCACAGTGAGCCACAATGAGCCACAGTGCACCAATGAGCCACAGTGAGCCACAATGAGCCAGTGAGCCACAGTGAGCCACAATAAGCCACAGTGAGCCACAGTGAGCTACAGTGAGCCACAGTGAGCCACAATGAGTCACAGTGAGCCACAATGAGCCAGTGAGCCACAGTGAGCTACAGTGAGCCACAGTGAATCACGGTGAGCCAGTGAGCCACAGTGAGCCACAGTGCGCCACAATGAGTCACAGTGAGCCACAGTGAGCCAGTGAGCCACAGTGAGCCACAATGAGCCACAGTGAGCCACAGTGAGCCACAATGAGCCACAGTGAGCCACAGTGAGCCACAGTGAGTCACAGTGAGTCACAGTGAGCCAGTGAGCCACAGTGCGCCAGTGAGCCACAATGAGCCACAGTGAGCCACAATGAGCCACTGTGAGCCACAGTGAGCCACAATGAGCCACAGTGAGCCACAGTGAGCCACAGTGCGCCAATGAGCCACAATGAGCCACAGTGCACCAATGAGCCACAGTGAACCACAATGAGCCAGTGAGCCACAGTGAGCCACAATAAGCCACAGTGAGCCACAGTGAGCCAGTGAGCCACAGCGCTGTCTTCTGGACAGTCCTGTTTCTTCACCTGAGGGAGGCTACCTCGCCTGGTATACAGGAGGCCGTGGGTTCTATCCCGACCATGACGATGCCTGCTGCTGTATATTTGGAGTTTGCATGTTCTCCAGGTAAGGCCCACTGAGCTATGTAGCTCTTTTTCAGAAGCGACCTGGCCACAAACGGTAACTCAACAAATTTGCTTATGATGTGGAAATTTTATAGCAGGCAAATACTGTAAACGCACATTGAGTCTAAATGTGGAGGGGAGAAAAAAACGGAGGATCTGGATAAAAATCCACGCATACTAGGCGAGGGAGATAAGATCTCGCCACCAAAGTGCCCTCACTCAATCCACCAATCAACGAGATATCCTTGGTGGCCTCAGCCAACCACGCAGTAGATTTCAATTTTCCCGGCAAAATTAAGTGTGATATACCTCCAATATAAAAAAAAACCAGCAAAATGTGTTCATGTTGCTGTGTAGTCGTGCATTCGGATTGGTCCGTCACTGCTCATAGGGGCAGGGTGTGTACCTGCAGGTCCCTGAACGTGATGAATCCGGGATTCCTGTTGCTGCCTGTCAGAGCCATGATCCCAGCGAGCCTCGACTCGAGCTCCAGCACGAGGCGCATGTCGGACGCGGCCCGCTCGTCCACACCGCCCAGCAGCTGTCGAACCCTGATCATGAAGTCCAGGTAGGTGGTCAGCACCTGTAACAACTTGTCAGTCAGACAGAGCACTGGCACGGCATCCCCCTTCGCCCAGACCACAGGCACATCATTCCTACTCTTTGCCCACAATGCCGTCCCCCAGGCAGTGTTTGTGTCTTGATACACTGTAAGTATTCGTGGTTGTGCTGCCATACAGCCCTTCAATGGTATTTCGGCTTTGTTTGGCACGATGTCTGACGTTTTGCACCACCTTCTGAGAGGGAACAGAATAGATTCGGTCGCTGATTTGCACTCTGAGCTATGTGCCAGTATGTTTAATCAGGACACATTGGGAAATTCATGGAACGTGAATTGAAATGGACGGAGGCCTGAATCATTGTCGTACTTCTATGCAATTGAGAGGGTAAAAAAACTACACCACTAGAATCAATTAAAATATCTGCGTCGCGTGATAAATACTTTATCACGATGATCAAATATTTATTTTGCACAAGAAGGCTCTTATGCATTGAAGAGACCCTCGTGAATAGCAGATTAAACCTTTGCCTCGTGTACTTTATGTTGACAAGCAATTAGCCGTGATGATTCAAAACCATCCGTTTGAAAATACCCTCAGCGGAGAGAGAGAGATAACCCGTATTTTATGAAAATAACAATCATGGGGTAAGTTATTTACCACGATCTGCATTAAACAGATGATTAGCCATTGCGTCAACACAAACCTCGTCCGGATTGTGTACGTTCCATTGTGTCAGCAAATGTCTACTTACCACAAGATAATCTCATTGCAAACACAATTCTAAGCGCCATATTTAGGTGTGAGTGTAGTCACATTTTGTACGTATGTATGTTGAACTTTTTTCGCAATGTACGTCGCCAACAGTGCAAATCGGAGGTATGTATGTTCGCATGTATGTATGTTCAAGAGCGTTGTGTAAATCTGAGCTTTAATACTAACTCCCTGAAATGTACGCATACGTACCTTATCATTTGCCGTCTTGTTAAGGTAATAGTCAGGAGATGGGAGGCCCAGGTCTGGAACTGAAAGCTGTGAATGGAAATTGCGCAAAAAAAAGATCGTTCCCTCTACTGCCAAAAACAAGCGCTCCGGGTCGTCAGCACATTTCACGTGTTTAGCTGGGCAAGTGGTGATGGCTGTGCACGCGACCTGTACTCCAAAACTCTGGAGGCAGTGAGGGTTGGTGGATTACACAACTGTTGCGAAACTCCTGTCCCGTAGGCGTCGAGGAGGTGCTATGCTCTGGCTTACCATGGGACGGCAGCACAACATAAAATGTGGACTCCACCTGTTCCGTCTGTACGAGGTCGCGTGTTTTCTCCGGGTCCGCCGGTTTCCTCCCACATGCAAACGCTCATTAATTGGCCGATAGCACCCTTCAAATATGCGGAGGAGCGCAGAGCTTGGGCAACTGCCGTCGCCGGCTCATCGCGTGGTTGCCCTCCCGCCCGTCTGTGGTTCCTCCACGCGCCTTACGAGTCGCTCTCTACGAGAGAGAGAGAGAGAGAGCGACTGCCGTGCACATTACGAGTTGAAATGATGAACATTGAAAGCGCCACACCAATTCTATCTGGAAGTCCAAACGCTTTCCTGGAGCTACTGCAGGTGTCAAATGGCACCCACAACATATTTTATTACGCTATTATTATTATTCATATTGTTTCTTGGCGAAGTTTACATTTGTCCACCCGAACTTCATGAAGACACTAATGTGATTTAGTCCTCCGACGCAATGGGTGGTCCCTGGACCCTGTATAAAATGTTACCTTGTTCAAATAAAATGCACGCGATCTAACCCAAAAACCTCGATTATGAATAATATTGGTTTCGCAAAAGTCTTCTACGTGTTAAATTGCTCAAACAAGGTAACATTTTAGGCTTAATCCTTTCCGCCAAGAATACAGGAGGTGTTACGACATCAAATAGACACCCATCACAAGGCACCAAGCCAGCATTAACCACGCATGCTTGTGGTAAAATATGCAAACAAAACACGCTATGATAATTATTCATGCATGTTTTTTTTTGCCACAAGCACGCGTGGCTAATGCAGACTTGTTTTATATTGCCTGGAAGGGTAAAAGCCTACTCTTTATTTTTCATACCACGTGTTTAATGACGTTAATCTGCTGTGCCGTGAGCAACTCTACCAATGGAAAAAAACTCACAGAGGCAATGGCAAATGCGCGCACACGCACGGGCGCGCGTGTGCGTACGGGCCGCACACGATGAGTCAGCAGGGGCGCCAATGGTTTCCTCCCACAGTGGAACCAGATAACGATGATTACGCCACGGATGGTAAAAAAAAATACAATTAAGCTGCATTCATTATATATTCATCATTTCAACTCGTAACGCGCATGGCAAGTCGCCCGCTCTCGTAGACAGAGGACGACTCAGAGGGGCGAGGAGCCACGGACAAGCGGGAGGGCAGCCAGGCGACGAGACGGGGACAACAACTGCCCAAGCTCTGCGCTCCTCTATATATTCAGGTGTCATCGGCCAATTAATGAGTGTTTGCATGTGGGAGGGAACCGGAGCACCCGGAGAAAACTCACATGTGCGAGGGGGAAACACTCTATCCCGTAAAGATGGAACAGGTGGAGTCCACATTTTAGCTGTACCACCATCTCCTGACGAGCCAGGGTATGGCTCCTCCTCAGTGCCCACAGGAAGGGAGTTTGGCAACATTTGTGTAATCCACCAACCCTCGCTGGTGCCTCCACAGGGCTGGATGATCACATGCCGCGTGCGTAGCTACCGCTAATCGGCATGCGGCGTCAGCACGGTCGATAAGACGTGTGTCACGCCACGCCTCTGTATCTCACAAAAAAACGCATGTGTACGCATTTGTGTGCTTGTTATTCTACATACAATCATAAAATTACGATGAAGTGTGCAAAACGATTTGATTTTCAGGTCAGGGCTTGAATATTGGCATTATGGGTAGAGCCCTCTGAAGTGGCTAAGCCCTGCGCCCTCCCCGACATGCAGAGTGTAATGGTCGAATACTCCACGTGAGCCACGGGGTCGTGAAAGTCAGAGCGAAGAAAATGGTAATACATTCCACAAAGCTGTGCCTGCAAGGTTAATAAACGCAAGTGTGTGTAAGTAAGACAATTCTCACACATTATGTACATGTTGTGATACCCAGCAGACAGAGATGTGGACACGGGCCGGAAAAATAAACCGTAATAATCCTACACGTATCCTCTCTCCTCCCATCATGTCATACATGGCACATGACAGCACCATACTGGGTGCATCTGGGCAGTCTAAAACAAGGCATACATGTGTAGTGTCAACAATTCAGAGACAGAGTTTCTCAGAGGCACTTTCTTTATGATCAACTTCAATGATTTCATCCGCACACTCTCCACAGTAGCTCAGCCTAGCCTGTACACAACGCTAGCCGTCTAACACTGACGGCATTGACTGAGATAGCCAACTACTCTCCTTCCTAGCGCAATATCTAGCGGAGACGTTTGGCGATGACGGCGACGAGACGTCAGCAAGGACGAGACGAGTCCACTCCCAGAACCGGCAGCCTCGAAGCCCCACGCTCTGGCCTTCTTTTATGCTCCCAGCACGGCCTGGCCCTGCCCTGACCACGCCTCCCTTCTCGAACCCACTAGCAGGTTCCAGGGGCCTCCAGATGGGGTCCTCCGTGACCCTTACCCTAGTTCCTCCTCTCTGCCCACACACCGTGCTCACGCTCACCGGCGTGTGTGCTGTCTGTCCGCCACAGTTGTCGGTGCTGTCCACCAGCCGGCGCTATTACACTACATATGCAACATGGTGGTGTCACGTGACGTTCGAGGTTGTGTCACGTGACATGATTGAAGGACCGAAGCTACGGTGGCAATCGAACATTTGAGTATTATCGCTCGTACAAGTATGTACCTGCACTGTGTGTAGAGGTGTTACCTGCTGAAATATTCTGCTAAAACTGTCGGCTGGCAGGGACACCGCACCGCATGGGAGAGAGACGTTCACCGACACCGCACCACATGGGAGACGTTCACCAAGACCGCACCACACGGGAGAGAGACGTTCACCAACACCACACCACACCACATGGGAGAGAGACGTTCGCCGACACCGCACCACATGGGAGAGAGACGTTCACCAGCACTGCATCACATGGCAGACGTTCACCGACACCACACCACATGGGAGAGAGACGCTCACCGACACCGTACCGCACGGGAGAGAGATGTTCACCAACACTGCACCACACGGGAGAGAGACATCCACCGACACCGCACCACATGGGAGACGTTCACCAAGACTGCACCACACGGGAGAGAGACGTTCACCGACACCACACCACACCACATGGGAGAGAGATGTTCACCAACACTGCACCACATGGGAGAGAGACATACACCGACACCGCATCACATGGGAGACGTTCACTGACACCGCACCACACGGGAGAGAGACGTTCACCGACGGGTTTCATGGCACGCATTGTAGGTGTCGGGTTTCGCGTGAGGTGAGCGCTCACCCCGAGGGCTCTCTGCTTGAAGTCGAACGGCAGGGAGCCGACGCCCAGCTTGAAGAACGCTCCGAGGGAGAAGTTCCTGCCTAGGAGCTGCAGTAGCTGCTGCAGCTCAGCGTCGCCAGTGGTGGCGCCGGTGGTGGTGGTGGTGGTGGGGTGCCCGCCGTGCCACCCGCCCAGCTGGCAGCACACACACACAGGCAGCACCACAGGATTCGTGAGGGCTCCTCTGGCAATCAAATTTCGGTGGGCTTGCGGCGGCGCAATGAGTTAATTTTTTTTTTATTACGTTTGCTTCGCATGCGAAACTCGATACTTTTGAAAGTGTACGGTGCAACAAAACGCGTACTCTAAATCGCTACGCGTAGGGGGAGCTCACACTTTCTATTTGAACAGTAATTCACAGTGGCCTCATATAAAACTCGATTGGAGATTTGGTTCGAACACATCTCGCCGAAGGTTTTTCTCACGAAGGCGCCCGCCCCCACTCCTGCCTGAAATCCGCTCTCCTGGAAGCGAGGCTCAGAGTGGCACCACGGACGCCCCGCTTGGCACGGCAGCGCCCCCGCTACCTGGCTGATGATGCCGCTGAGCGATCGGCTCCCAAGCCGGCTTCTGCTGCTGCTCAGGCATGAGAGGTAAAACCGCTGGACTTTTCTCTCCGCGTCGGTCTCCTTGATCGTAGCATTTTCTGAACAAAGTCGTCGGACACACAGCACCGACATCAACTTGGGAACACATGCACCGAGTGATATTACTGCGCGAGCCTGGCTGTACGATTCAACGTAATCCACGTGATTGGGTTGCACATCGTTTTTTATGGTTATATTTTGAAAAGTAATACAATTTTCGGATATCCTGCATCCAGATGCATCATGGTTTCCCTGCCCTCGCAGCGTAATCGGGCGACCCAAGTGCATTGTGTGCCACCTACGATCCTGATCTGACAATCGCACGTTATTTCTGACTTATTTGAAGATGAACTTTTCATTATCACATAGAGAGCGATGGCTTTCATTCATCGACTAACGCATTTGCACGGGGGTGGGGGGGGGGGGGGGGGCAACGGCTATTACCCAGAAATCTGTGCATGGCGAACTGGTTATTTTTGTCGAGCTCCTGCCACGTTCCCCAGTGCGGTTTCCCCGTGGGCTGCCCGCTCCCCTGGAGCCACCGGCCGCAGCTGAAGCCGTAGAAGTCCTCGCAGGGGTCGCCCGACGAGTTCAGAGCCTCCCACATGGAGCTCACGGCCTGCACGCAGTGGCTCGTCGTGCACGTGCGCCACTTCTCTACGTCTCCAGCTGCGGACACACAATAAACCCAAGGACAGCACCACGCGTCACACTCGTCCCTCGTAATACAGTCGAGAGACGTGACTTAAGAATAAGTTGTACCCTTTCTGGCAACAAAACAGCTGTCTTGGGATGTTAAAACACCAAACAGAAAACGTTTGCAAGCAATCATGTCTGCGTTAACCACGTATCTACTTATGGCGAACATTAAGAAGAAACATGCTGTCCCATGATGTAGCTGCTCACCACGAGCTCTCAATGTCCTGATAGTGGCATTGTCTTCGTGCTGTTCGCCTTTTGGCGTCCTCTGGTCTAACGCCGTTTGAGACGAGGCTCTAAAAAAAGCTGTCTCTGGTGTGGACCAATCCGTTTCAAAGAGAATGCATATAATCTTGACTTAAAGCGTTCGTGACTGCAGGAATTCATATTCTTTGGGTCTTTCGGTAAAGTCACGTAGATAGGTTCAAGGAAAATAACAAAAAAACTACGACGTTTCGATCGTAACGCAAGCGTTCGTCAACAGCTAACCGCCTCTTCCTGTTCTTCTGCCAAACAAGGTCACGTTAACTTCCTTCTCGCGGACAAAGCGCAAGGACTGTCAACAATGTCCCTCTCCTTGTCACGCTCGACGCAGGAAGTGGTCACAGGCAGCTGCGATCCGAGCGATGCTTCGGCATTGCCAACGAGAGACCGCGTCCCAAACCAAACAGGCGGAGGCAAAAGGTCGGTGGCCAAACTCCAAATCTTCTCCGCGCGGTGGGAGAACGCAGACTAAGCAAGCACGTCTCACCGCCTTGAGCAATAACGTCGCTTGCATCGTAATGGGCAGGGTACTGAACGCGCAGGGCAAAGCAGAAGAGAAGAAAACAAGAAAAAGCCTGTGAAAGATAAGGCCAGATATGAAATAAAAACATGATTGCCAAACAACTGTAAAACCATTAGGAACCCATTAGTTTCACATTCATATAAATAAAAATATGATGATTTGGTACGTGCACCTGCAAACATAGTTTATACATTGCTGTATGGCATATAATGTACGGCACTTTACCACCAATCAAACACATTTCATAGCTACAGCTGCGAATACAAAAGCAACGTACGCTTATTTGGGATTATGTGTTTGCGTGGCAGAGCCAGACGTCGAAGTGTAATGTGTTTAATCATCGCACCGGTATTGAACAATGACATTTAGCGACGGTTGAAGCTGCCATCTCATGATATTAGTTACACTCTAGTCTCACAGAGGGTGTTGTGTCAGTCTTGTGCATTGCAGGAGCGTTGTCCGTTACACCCCCTGAACCCATCAAGGCAGTGACGCCTGCTTGTGGGGAAAATAAAAAAAAACACCTCGCGATTGCTGACAAAATAAAAAAAGACGTTTGGCCAATTACATTAAATTACTCTTTGGTTCTTTCAGTAAAGTCACGTAGAAAGAAAATAAATTAAATAATAGAGTACGACTTTACAATTGCAACACAAGCAGTCGTCATCAGGGAGAACTAAATTTGAGAGAGAGACAAAACACAGACACGGAGACACACAGACACACAAGGAGAGAGAGACAACACAGAGACACACAGAGAGAGACAACACAGACACACAGACACACAAGCAGATAGAGACAACACAGAGACACACAGAGAGACACACAACATAGATACACAGAGAGACACACAAGCAGAGAGAGACAACACAGAGACACACAGAGAGAGACACAGAACATAGATACACAGAGAGACACACAACATAGACACACAGAGAGAGACACACAACATAGATACACACAGAGACACACAAGCAGAGAGAGACAACACAGAGACACACAGAGAGACACAACATAGACACACAGAGAGACAACACAGAGACACAGAGAGAGAGACACACAACATAGATACACAGAGAGGCAACACAGAGACACAGAGAGAGAGACACACAACATAGATACACACAGAGACACACAAGCAGAGAGAGACAACACAGAGACACACAGAGACACAACATAGACACACAGAGAGACAACACAGAGACAGAGAGAGAGACACACAGCATAGACACACAGAGAGACAACACAGATACACAGAGAGACACACAACATAGACACACAGACATACACACAAGCAGAGAGAGACAACACAGAGACACAGAGAGAGACACAACATAGACACACAGAGAGGCAACACAGAGACACAGAGAGAGACACACAACATAGACACACAGAGAGACAACACAGATACACAGAGAGACACACAACATAGACACACAGACAGACACACAAGCAGAGAGAGACAACACAGAGACACACAGAGAGAGAGAGACACAACATAGACACACAGACAGACACACAAGCAGAGAGAGACAACACAGAGACACAGAGAGAGAGACACACAACATAGACACACAGAGAGAAAGACATACACAGAGACAGAGACACACAAACAGAGAGAGACAACACAGAGACACAGAGAGAGAGACACAACATAGACACACAGAGAGACACACAGAGACACAGAGAGAGACACACAGCATAGACACACAGACAGACACACAAGCAGAGAGAGACACACAGAGAGAGACACACAACATAGATACACAGAGACCCAATGCCTGTGTCAAGGCCTTAAAGAGAGAAAGGGGGGGGGGGGGGGGTTGGGCAGAGAGAGAGGTGGGTCTGCTGAGGCTGCTGCTGGAGCAGATAAATTAGCACGTCAATGAATCCACCCCGAAGCGACCGAGGGAAAGAAGAAGATCGAATGGCCCTATGATAGCCTGGTACATTTTAGAGAGAGAAATAGTTTGAGAAAACAGAGAGTCGGCTAACACATAGTTAACGCGTAGCCTTATCTTCTTTACCTCGGTCGCTTCGGGGTGGATTCATTGACATGCTATTTTATCTGCTCCAGTAGCTGCTCCAGCAGACCCACCTCTCTCTCTCTGCCCACCCCCCCCTTCTCTATTTAAGGCCTCGATACAGAGGCATTGGGTCTCTGTGTGTCTATGTTGTGTGTCTCTCTCGGTGTGTCTCTGTGTTGTCTCTCTCTGCTTGTGTGTCTATGTTGTGTGTCTCTCTCTCTGTGTCTTTGTGTTGTCTCTCTCTGCTTGTGTCTGTCTGTGTGTCTATGTTGTGTGTCTCTCTCTATGTGTCTCTGTGTTGTCTCTCTCTGCTTGTGTGTCTGTCTGTGTGTCTATGTTGTGTGTCTCTCTCTATGTGTCTCTGTGTTGTCTCTCTCTGCTTGTGTGTCTGTCTGTGTGTCTATGTTGTGTGTCTCTCTGTGTCTCTGTGTTGTCTCTCTCTCTCTGTGTCTCTCTCTGTGTCTCTGTGTTGTCTCTCTGTGTCTATGTTGTGTGTTTCTCTCTGTGTGTCTCTGTGTTGTCTCTCTCTGTGTGTCTCTGTGTCTCTGTGTTGTCTCTCTCTCTGTGTCTCTCTCTCTGTGTCTCTGTGTTGTCTTTCTGTGTGTCTATGTTGTGTGTTTCTCTCTGTGTGTCTCTGTGTTGTCTCTCTCTCTGTTTGTGTGTCTCTGTGTCTCTGTGTTGTCTCTCTGTGTGTCTATGTTGTGTGTCTCTCTCTGTGTCTCTGTGTTGTCTCTCTCTGCTTGTGTGTCTGTGTGTCTCCGTGTCTGTCTACCTGATGACGGTTGCTTGTGTTGCAATCGAAACGTCGTACTCTATTATTTAATTTATTTTCTTTCTACGTGACTTTACCGAAAGAACCAAAGAGTAATTCCTGCAGTCACGGAAGCTTCAAATCAAGTTTAATTACATTAAGTGCTGCTGCGCACTCCATTCGTCCACCAATCGGTCAGTTACAGGACTAAGGTGAGTAGTAACGTTCATAAAAAAAATTATATAAAAAAAACAATGATGGTAACGTTTCATGTGATCCATCTGTTGGGGGGCTTTAAGAAATTATATAAACTCATTCTATTCGATTTTCCTCTCTCTCCTAGCTGCAACACGGCTTCGTTAAGCAATCAAAACTTCCACGTCAAGAATCGCTTACATTTGCATGAGGTGGTTTTCTTTTTTAATACGTTCACCCTAGTCGCAATAATGCCTAGTTACAATTCTGAAAGAGCCAGCAATAATTCATTTTGAGGCACTGGAGCGCACCATGCTACACCACTTCCCTGCCGCTGCTCGGGACGTGACGATATGTGTCCAATGTGTGGCAACGCTGAGCACACGCTGCCGTGCCTGAGCAAGCCTTGTCATTGCGTTCCCGGGGAGTGTTCACACGGCCCGGTGCATTACTTGGTGGACTCACTTCCTGGCCCTTATGGTCGACAACTGAGTGCATGCGGAGTCTGTGAACAAAGACTTTTAATATATTTAAAAAAAAAAGCATTGTCCCCGGGAATATTTCTTATTATTACGCCTGTTCACCCAGGAAAGCCTCGCTGAGTCTCCTAACTCTTCTCCATGAGTTTTCTCATTTACAGATTTGAATGATTGATGCTTAAGCCATTGAGTCCCCAGTGTGAAGGTACGCGCTCTCTCCTGAGGAGGCTCCCAGAGGCATAAGGCAGCAGGGGTGACTACTGATGAATCGTAATAATCACAAAAACCGGTCTGCAGTTGAGTTTTTGTTTAACTGCTGCCTGGTGGGATGGCCATATTTTCTCAACTCTTTTGAGTTGGCGGTCTAAAAGTCCAGACTCTCCACACATGCAGTTAATTTTGAGCTGCTGGTCTGAATAAGGCCCGAAAGCCTTTGTCCACACAATGAACATCCTTGCACACTGTTAAATCTACCGATTTCTCCGGCCACAACTCGTTATTCTCTCGTGATGGGTTTTGTCGTGACATTTTGCAAATGTCACGACGGACCTCAGTGGCGAGCGGTAACTGAAGTGGCGCAGGGCACTCCGTCAGCCAACGCCGACACTCACGAGCGTGGCCATGTGCGCTCAAACATCCCTCACGACCGACATGAAGAGTGAGAAAGGACCAAGGTGGTGGGAGGGGACATGGTTATTGGCGAACCTGTTGCCCGTGGCGGCAGCATCAAGGCCACGACGCAGCCGGTGAGCGCGAGGGTCAGCCCCGCGGTCAGGGCCCACAGGAAACAGCCCCACCGCCACGTGCTCATGTTCAAACAACGCTTCACGCACTCAACCTGCGGGCGAACGACAAACAAACAAAAAACCGAGCAGCCGCACAGGACTTGAATGGGAGGAGGAAGCTCTCTGCGTGCTACCTTACCACGTCAATCACGCACACCACCTACCACTCACCACCACAAAGACAAAATCCCCCTGTAGCCTTAACAGGCTGTTGGGGCAAGTGCTGTTAGCGAGCACCTATGAAGGCCGGCACAGCACAAGAGAGGGTGGGTGGCCAGCACCACGCCCGGCCGCCTTTGTCTCCCCAGTGGCGATGGTTTTACACACCACACCAGGTACTCATTTGAGGCTGAGTCGACCTAGGGGAGGCCCAATACCGGTTCAGATAATCGTTAACCGGTGTTGGCCGTGAGCGGGAATCGAACTCGGGGTCCCGGGGTCGTAGTGCAGCGCGCTAACCGCTACACTATCGCTCCCCATTACCAGCGCTCACCCACCACCACCCACCATCACACACCACCACTCACCCACCACTCACCACCACTCACCCACCACTCACCACCACTCACCAGCACTCACCCACCACTCACCAGCACTCACCCACCACCACCCACCATCACACACCACCACTCACCCACCACCCACCACCACTCACCCACTACCACCCATCACCACCCACCACCACTCACCCACCACCACCCACCACCCACCACCACTCACCCACCACCACCCATCACCACCCACCACCACTCACCAGCACTCACCCATCACCACCCACCATCACACACCACCACTCACCCACCACTCACCAGCACTCACACACCACTCACCCACCACTCACCAGCACTCACCCACCACTCACCAGCACTCACCCACCACCATCCACCATCACACACCACCACTCACCCACCACTCACCAGCACTCACACACCACTCACCCACCACTCACCAGCACTCACCCACCACTCACCAGCACTCACCCACCACCACCCACCATCACACACCACCACTCACCACTCACCAGCACTCCCCCACCACTCACCCACCACTCACCAGCACTCACCACCACTCACCAGCACTCACCCACCACCACCCACCATCACACACCACCACTCACACACCACTCACCAGCACTCCCCCACCACTCACCCACCACTCACCAGCACTCACCCACCACTCACCACCACTCACCCACCACTCACCACCACTCACCAGCACTCACCCACCACTCACCAGCACTCACCCACCACCACCCACCACCACACACCACCACTCACCAGCACTCACTACCACTCACACACCACCACTCACCCATCACCACACACCACCACTCACCCACCACCACCCACCACCATTCACCAGTACTCACCACCACTTGCCCACTACCACTCACCACCACACACCACCATTCACCAGCACTCACCACCACTCGCCCACCACCACCCACCACACACCACCATTCACCAGTACCACCCGCTGCTCCTCCCAGTGTGAATGCGCCACTCACCCATCACTCACCACCACTCACCACCTCTCACCCACTGCTAACGCGTGATGTTTGTAGACGCTTAAACGGCGTCATTATCTCTACGGCAAATTAATAAGTTGTGTGGGTCTCTACACGTCTTTTTATTTTTCCATCTGAGACTTTCACATCACCATTTTACATGATGTCACTCGCATGACCCTGTCCATCGCAGAGTGATCCCAATGAATGCTTAATGAGTACAGCATGCCCCTATACAATACATGCAAAGCAATACGAGCTCTAATCTCGTCCTTGATACAGCAGACTCGTTATAGATACATGCATATATAGATTCACGTTTAAAAATAGATTCATCTGCACAAACTTGTTTTAGTGTACTTCCGTGAGCACGTGGTGTACCTGTGCGGTGACTGTGTTTAAATCAACATGGCTTTTTTTACAGACATGCATTGTGAAATAATGGAATCTGCTCTCGCACTGAGCTGCTCATAGATCAAGAAAAATGTCAAGGCACCCTAAGTGCAGTGACCATCAGCCACTCAAAACCGACAATTGGCGTACAACCAGACCAGTGGCATTCCTCTATTTGGAGCACAGCACATATTACAAGAGTCGCTCACGTGCTACAGGGTTTATATACAGTTACGGACAGTCCTCGGGTCACGAACCTAGTTCGTTTCTGAGACCCGTTTGTAAGTCGACCCGTTCGTAAGTCAACCCGTTCGTAAATCAACCCGTTCGTAAGTCGACCCGTTCGTAAGTCGACCCGTTTGTAAGTCAACCCGTTCGTAAATCACCCGTTCGTAAGTAGGCCCGTTCGTAAGTCAACCCGTTCGTAAGTCAACCCGTTCGTAAGTCAACCCGTTCGTAAGTCAACCCGTACGTAAGTCGACCCGTACGTAAGTCGATCCGTACGTAAGTAGACCCGCTCGTAAGTCAACTTGTTCGTAAGTCGACCTGTTCGTAAGTCAACCCGTACGTAAGTCGACCCGTTCGTAAATTAACCCGTTCGTAAGTCAACCTGTTCGTAAGTCGACGTGTTCGTAAGTCAACCCGTTCGTAAGTCAACCCCTTCGTAATTCAACCCGTTCGTAAGTCAACCCGTTCGAAAGTCAACCTGTTCGTAAGTTGACCCATTCGTAAGTTAACCTGTTCGTAAGTCAACCCGTTCGTAAGTCAACCTGTTCATAAATCAACCTGTTCGTAAGTCAACCCGTACGTAAGTCGACCCGTTCGTAAGTCGACCCGTTCGTAAATCAACCCGTTCGTAAGTCAACCCGTTCGTAAGTCAACCCGTTCGTAAGTCAACCTGTTCGTAAGTCGACCCGTTCGTAAATCGACCCGTTCGTAAATCGACCCGTTCATAAGTCAACCCGTTCCTAAGTCAACCCGTTCGTAAGTCAACCCGTTCGTAAGTCGACCCGTTCGTAAGTCGACCCGTTTGTAAGTCGACCCGTTCGTAAGTCGACCCGTTCGTAAGTCAACCTGTTCGTAAGTCAACCTGTTCATAAGTCGACCCGTTCGTAAGTCAACCCGTTCGTAAGTCAACCTGTTCGTAAATCAACCTGTTCGTAAGTCAACCTGCTCGTAAGTCAACCCGTTCGTAAGTCAACCTGTTCATAAGTCGACCCGTTCGTAAGTCAACCCGTTCGTAAGTTGACGCGTTTGTAAGTCGACCCGTTCGTAAGTTGAGGACTGCCTGCACAGTAGTCCCCCTCTTAACGATGGTAATTGGTTCCATGAAACCGGCTGTTAAGTGATTTGGCCGTTAAACAAGTATAGGTAAATACACGTTAAAGGCTTAATTCGTTCCGATAGCATAGAAAGTTACCCTTTTTCACCCAAAAAACGTACTTTATCATATTGAAACAATGGAAATTAATACATAAAGATACTAACAGAATTATACACATAATATTAAAATAAAATGGTTAATCAATTCATTAATTCATATTTACTGTACTTGCAACAGCCCGTCGTTAACAGGGGAATGGTCGGTAAGCGAACACATTGGGCTCTATGGAGGCAATACACTGTACACTACACTATACACTACACGACTATACACTACACTATACTCTACACTACTATACACTACACTACTATACACTACACTATACTCTACACTACTATACACTACACTATACACCACACAACACTATACACTACACATTGGGCTCTTTGGAGGCCCGTCGTTAAGTGATTAGTCGTTAACAGGGGTGGTCGTCAAGAGGGGTTCTATTCTACACTGCATTCAACAGACGTCAGTCCTTGTATTCAATGGAGGCCAGCTGCCCTTAACCCTACTGCCACCACTATGATGGACACGCCACTGCCATTAGGCATAACGTACGATGTTGCGTAGATTCATGCTCGCACGGTTAACGCTAAGCTTCCTTGACAATGTGATCGTATGTGCTAGGAAGAAGAGCCATTACCCAAAACGTCGCCTATGATATTTCTTTGTGTCAAGCAGAATTACTGACAAATGTGAGGGTTTTTTTCTGTTGTGTGCTGGTGCACTACCGCCAACGCAGCAGCAGCAGCATCATTGAATACTTTCTAATCCTTGATAATATTTTAATATCATGGAGGGTTAAAAGCAAGTCAAGTCGACGCAGCTTCGTTGCTTATTCATTACCACTACCTCTATCACGCCTCCGATTAGCACCGTTGGCTATGTATGGTGCAAAAGAAGTGCACCATACATACACACATCTATCCAGCTGTGAAGTATAACAAGTGCTGTGCCATTAGATTGAAAGGCGAACCGTTCAAGAAGTGGGTAAAAAGTTTTAAACTTGAAAAACTTCGTTGCACTTGTTAAGCCACCAACACTTCTCGCGCGGGGAGCCAGCAAACTTTTAAAATGGGACAAAGTCCAGATTTTTTACAACTGCTTCAGGACATCACCGGTAACAGCCTCTGCTCTTCATGACAACCGAGGGCTGTCCTCAGTTGTCCCAGCCAAAGGGAGGATGTATCTTCACTTCATCCATCATCAACTGCAATGGAATGTGCCAACCCGGCGTTTTCTATTCAGTCGGTTTAGTCTTGCTAATTTTTTATGTCAACATAGAGAAATGAAATACTGTGCAGTAGTTTTCGCGGTACTGGAATAAGAGAGGCACGACTTTGTGTGCGTGTGTGTGCGCGCAGAATGAACACGAGGCCCAGTACTTACGTGCGCCCCGTGACGTTTCGCACAGACGCAATGCAACCACGGATACTGTGAACACAGACAATAAGAAAAGTGGAGTTTCTTTTCACTTAAGCATTTAAATTCACACGCTCACTCACTGAAATGTGAAGCCTTTCTTCCAGTACGTGAGAAGCCTGAGCTGGCCCACCAGCGATTCAGACTCTCAGTTGCAGATATAACTTGACTTGAGCAATTTCAGTCGTGCGGTTGAGAGTACGCAACTGCTGATATTGTGACTATGAAGAGCAAGGGACCTAATATATTGGCGACGAGCTACTCATGACCACAGAACATTTCATGGATAAATGGCATCACAATTATTACGTCATTGTTCTCATAATTTTTTGGGGGTTCTTTGGAACATAATTTCTGCCACTACCCAGAAGTTACACTCCATAATCTGCTTTCTTATCCGTGGGGAATCGCGAATAGGAGGCGTTTTTTGTGAGTCAGTTGAACGCAGGGTGACCTAATCTTCTTCCCCGGTTGTCCGCAGCATCATGATGAACAACGGAACGTGTCATGGCCTGCTGACCAACGACCAAGCTCCTCTCATCCACAACCTCACGGACATTACTGCCAGCCGCAAGCGCTTCTGGCGAATACTGTGGATCATTGGAAGAATCAAGCTGCAGGCTCACGTGATTCTACACGGAATGCATTTGTGGCTGCGAATAGTAGAATTGACAGCATAAGAGGTTCACAGACAGGAGGAGTTTCGCTGTGTTCTGAATAGTTGCTACGCGGCCTGTGCTGGTAAAAGTTGCCATTTGAAGTGAGGTCTAAAACAGAAACACTTTTCAGCTGAAGATCGTTGCACAACGTGAACCGCACAGCACAAAAGAGGAAATGCGTTTCAAGAGTAATGAATGAAGCCGTGTCACGCTGCGACCTCTCCGCACCGAGGGAACCTCACCCACATGCTTGCATGTCGCTCAAAGTAACAACGGGGAAAAAAAACCCCAAAACAATCCGCCTTGTTTTCTCCAAGACGTAATCCCCTATTTATTGGATTTAGAGGCCACGAACAGCAATCAGATGTACGTATAGCAATTTAAACGCTCTGCAAATGCAAATGTAGTCGCGGAACGCGCGCAGGGTTTGCAAACAGCAGTTGCATTATGGACGGGGTTGCAGGCAGTGAGGTCAGCTCAGGAGAAGCAGTGCAGGCGGGTGGACTGGGTGACAGCAGACAGAGAGACGCCAGCAATTAGGGAAAGAGGCAGTGGTTGGTTGTCCGGCTGCAAATATAAACGCGGAGTCGGTGCCATGGAGGCGAGAGATAGTGGCGATAAGGGGGAGAACACGTGGGGGAGAACACGTGGGGAGGACTCCGGCTTAATGAGGGCCATCTGTGGGCACTTAATGAGGAGGGGGATAAAAGGGGAACGTGTGAGGCAGAGGGGTTGAGTTGGTTGGAGTGAAGACAAGAGAGAATTCAAGAGAAGTCCGGGACCCCGCTCTCCACACATCGTCCTCTCCAGCGGTGTTGGCTGATCCCCCGCTGGAGGCAAGGGCGAGGTCGGAGGAGTGAGGGTAGACAGGCTAGCAGTAGAGAGACTATCAGAGTCCTACATGTGAGTGTGAGACAGGCTAGCAGTAGAGAGGCTAGCAGTAGAGAGGTGAGCGGAATCCTAAGTGTGAGACAGGCTAGCAGTAGAGAGACTAGCGGAATCCTACATGTGAGTGTGAGACAGGCTAGCAGTAGAGAGGCGAGCGGAATCCTAAGTGTGAGTGTGAGACAGGCTAGCAGTAGAGAGACTAGCGGAGTCCTAAGTGTGAGTGTGAGAAGGCTAGCAGTAGAGAGGCTAGGGGAATCCTACATGTGAGTGTGAGAAGGCTAGCAGTAGAGAGGCTAGCGGAATCCTACATGTGAGTGTGAGACAGGCTAGCAGTAGAGAGACTAGGGGAATCCTACATGTGAGTGTGAGACAGGCTAGCAGTAGAGAGGCTAGCGGAGTCCTAAGTGTGAGTGTGAGAAGGCTAGCAGTAGAGAGGCTAGGGGAATCCTACATGTGAGTGTGAGACAGGCTAGCAGTAGAGAGACTAGCGGAATCCTACATGTGAGTGTGAGACAGGCTAGCAGTAGAGAGGCTAGCGGAGTCCTAAGTGTGAGTGTGAGAAGGCTAGCAGTAGAGAGGCTAGGGGAATCCTACATGTGAGTGTGAGACAGGCTAGCAGTAGAGAGGCTAGGGGAATCCTACATGTGAGTGTGATACAGGCTAGCAGTAGAGAGGCTAGCGGAGTCCTACATGTGAGTGTGATACAGGCTAGCAGTAGAGAGGCTAGGGGAATCCTACATGTGAGTGAGACAGGCTAGCAGTAGAGAGGCTAGGGGAATCCTACATGTCAGTGTGAGAGGCTAGCAGTAGAGAGGCTAGGGGAATCCTACATGTGAGTGTGAGACAGGCTAGCAGTAGAGAGGCTAGGGGAGTCCTAAGTGAGTGTGAGACAGGCTAGCAGTAGACAGGCGAGCGGAATCCTAAGTGTGAGTATGAGACAGGCTAGCAGTAGAGAGGCTAGGGGAATCCCACATGTGAGTGTGAGACAGGCTAGCAGCAGAGAGACTACGGGAATCCTACATGTGAGTGTGAGACAGGCTAGCAGTAGAGAGGCTAGGGGAATCCTAAGTGTGAGTGTGAGACAGGCAAGCAGTAGAGAGGCTAGGGGAATCCTAAGTGTGAGAAGGCTAGCAGTAGAGAAGCTAGGGGAATCCTACATGTGAGTGTGAGACAGGCTAGCAGTAGAGAGACTAGGGGAATCCTACATGTAAGTGTGAGACAGGCTAGCAGTAGAGAGGCTAGGGGAATCCTACATGTGAGTGTGAGACAGGCTAGCAGTAGAGAGACTAGGGGAATCCTACATGTGAGTGTGAGACAGGCTAGCAGTAGAGAGGCTAGCGGAGTCCTAAGTGTGAGTGTGAGAAGGCTAGCAGTAGAGAGGCTAGGGGAATCCTACATGTGAGTGTGAGACAGGCTAGCAGTAGAGAGACTAGCGGAATCCTACATGTGAGTGTGAGACAGGCTAGCAGTAGAGAGGCTAGCGGAGTCCTAAGTGTGAGTGTGAGAAGGCTAGCAGTAGAGAGGCTAGGGGAATCCTACATGTGAGTGTGAGACAGGCTAGCAGTAGAGAGGCTAGGGGAATCCTACATGTGAGTGTGATACAGGCTAGCAGTAGAGAGGCTAGCGGAGTCCTACATGTGAGTGTGATACAGGCTAGCAGTAGAGAGGCTAGGGGAATCCTACATGTGAGTGAGACAGGCTAGCAGTAGAGAGGCTAGGGGAATCCTACATGTGAGTGTGATACAGGCTAGCAGTAGAGAGGCTAGCGGAGTCCTACATGTGAGTGTGATACAGGCTAGCAGTAGAGAGGCTAGGGGAATCCTACATGTGAGTGAGACAGGCTAGCAGTAGAGAGGCTAGGGGAATCCTACATGTCAGTGTGAGAGGCTAGCAGTAGAGAGGCTAGGGGAATCCTACATGTGAGTGTGAGACAGGCTAGCAGTAGAGAGGCTAGGGGAGTCCTAAGTGAGTGTGAGACAGGCTAGCAGTAGACAGGCGAGCGGAATCCTAAGTGTGAGTATGAGACAGGCTAGCAGTAGAGAGGCTAGGGGAATCCCACATGTGAGTGTGAGACAGGCTAGCAGTAGAGAGGCTAGGGGAATCCTACATGTGAGTGTGAGACAGGCTAGCAGTAGAGAGGCTAGGGGAATCCTACATGTGAGTGTGATACAGGCTAGCAGTAGAGAGGCTAGCGGAGTCCTACATGTGAGTGTGATACAGGCTAGCAGTAGAGAGGCTAGGGGAATCCTACATGTGAGTGAGACAGGCTAGCAGTAGAGAGGCTAGGGGAATCCTACATGTCAGTGTGAGAGGCTAGCAGTAGAGAGGCTAGGGGAATCCTACATGTGAGTGTGAGACAGGCTAGCAGTAGAGAGGCTAGGGGAGTCCTAAGTGAGTGTGAGACAGGCTAGCAGTAGACAGGCGAGCGGAATCCTAAGTGTGAGTATGAGACAGGCTAGCAGTAGAGAGGCTAGGGGAATCCCACATGTGAGTGTGAGACAGGCTAGCAGCAGAGAGACTACGGGAATCCTACATGTGAGTGTGAGACAGGCTAGCAGTAGAGAGGCTAGGGGAATCCTAAGTGTGAGTGTGAGACAGGCAAGCAGTAGAGAGGCTAGGGGAATCCTAAGTGTGAGAAGGCTAGCAGTAGAGAAGCTAGGGGAATCCTACATGTGAGTGTGAGACAGGCTAGCAGTAGAGAGACTAGGGGAATCCTACATGTAAGTGTGAGACAGGCTAGCAGTAGAGAGGCTAGGGGAATCCTACATGTGTGTGTGAGACAGGCTAGCAGTAGAGAGACTAGGGGAATCCTACATGTGAGTGTGAGACAGGCTAGCAGTAGAGAGGCTAGCGGAGTCCTAAGTGTGAGTGTGAGAAGGCTAGCAGTAGAGAGGCTAGGGGAATCCTACATGTGAGTGTGAGACAGGCTAGCAGTAGAGAGACTAGCGGAATCCTACATGTGAGTGTGAGACAGGCTAGCAGTAGAGAGGCTAGCGGAGTCCTAAGTGTGAGTGTGAGAAGGCTAGCAGTAGAGAGGCTAGGGGAATCCTACATGTGAGTGTGAGACAGGCTAGCAGTAGAGAGGCTAGGGGAATCCTACATGTGAGTGTGATACAGGCTAGCAGTAGAGAGGCTAGCGGAGTCCTACATGTGAGTGTGATACAGGCTAGCAGTAGAGAGGCTAGGGGAATCCTACATGTGAGTGAGACAGGCTAGCAGTAGAGAGGCTAGGGGAATCCTACATGTCAGTGTGAGAGGCTAGCAGTAGAGAGGCTAGGGGAATCCTACATGTGAGTGTGAGACAGGCTAGCAGTAGAGAGGCTAGGGGAGTCCTAAGTGAGTGTGAGACAGGCTAGCAGTAGACAGGCGAGCGGAATCCTAAGTGTCTGTATGAGACAGGCTAGCAGTAGAGAGGCTAGGGGAATCCCACATGTGAGTGTGAGACAGGCTAGCAGCAGAGAGACTACGGGAATCCTACATGTGAGTGTGAGACAGGCTAGCAGTAGAGAGGCTAGGGGAATCCTAAGTGTGAGTGTGAGACAGGCAAGCAGTAGAGAGGCTAGGGGAATCCTAAGTGTGAGAAGGCTAGCAGTAGAGAAGCTAGGGGAATCCTACATGTGAGTGTGAGACAGGCTAGCAGTAGAGAGACTAGGGGAATCCTACATGTAAGTGTGAGACAGGCTAGCAGTAGAGAGGCTAGGGGAATCCTACATGTGAGTGTGAGACAGGCTAGCAGTAGAGAGGCTAGGGGAATCCTACATGTGAGTGTGAGACAGGCTATCAGTAGAGAGGCTAGGGGAATCCTACATGTAAGTGTGAGACAGGCTAGCAGTAGAGAGGCTAGGGGAATCCTACATGTGAGTGTGAGACAGGCTAGCAGTGGAGAGGCTAGGGGAATCCTACATGTGAGTGTGAGACAGGCTCGCAGTAGAGAGGCTAGGGGAATCCTACATGTGAGTGTGATACAGGCTAGCAGTATAGAGGCTAGGGGAATCCTACATGTGAGTGTGAGACAGGCTAGCAGTAGAGAGACTACGGGAATCCTACATGTGAGTGTGAGACAGGCTAGCAGTAGAGAAGCTAGGGGAATCCTACGTGTGAGACAGGCTAGCAGTAGAGAGGCTAGGGGAATCCTACATGTGAGTGTGAGACAGGCTAGCAGTAGAGAGGCTAGGGGAATCCTACATGTGAGTGTGAGACAGGCTAGCAGTAGAGAAGCTAGCAGCAGAGTGCAACATGGCAGGCTAGCGGAGCGTAGCAGACCAGCAGGGTAAGAGTTGTGACGCGTGGTGTTGAACGTGATGAGTTCTGCACGAATAAAGTGAGACAGGATAAAAGGAAGTTGTCCGTGTGAAATCACACCACTGCACGAGATGCGTTCCTGGAGCTTCGTTTGTATATCGAAACGTCGTATATTGAATAAGTTATAACATTAGTACAATGAGGATGCGTTCCCAACCTTCGTGACTTACCATTTCATTCTATAAACACTTCATAACTTACCATTCAGATTGTAAGCAAAGACAATTCATATGGAAAATAAAATAATATTTTTCATACTGTACACTATTAAAATAAAACTGACAAATGAAACGGACGGTGAAGAAACATAATTGTATTTGTATTTATAGTGTGCTGTAGAGCGAGTAATTATTTACTCATTCAATACGGTGCATCTGTTTCTGATTTTAATCTATTTTTAGCTTTGTGTGTAAAATAATGGTAGAAGAAAAATCCAAAGTTTCGTGATGCTGAAACTTCATTGATCGAATATCCGCGTAGCGAGACAGGACAACTGCCACCGTATGGATGAGATGAGTTTCCAAAGGCAATTTAAGTGCCCAGATTTAAACAATGTCACTCCAGTACATGTGCCGCATTTGCCTACAGCATGGCACTGCAAAATCATCCTTCAATTGCCAATGATAGCAATACTCGCTGCAACTGTCGTTATCAGCCAATGTTACTCCACTGCTGGATGAAAATCCTCCCCAATCCGCCGCCGCCACCTCTCACCATGTATTCATTAAAGCCGCCTAGCGCCGGCACACCGAACCCATTTAAATCGCTCCATCTCCTCGGAGGCGTTGCAGTCGCCACAGCGTCAACACGAGAGGAATGGATCCTGCTGAGGCCTCCCCTACCACCAGAGCACCCCCCTCGCCCCACCACAGAGCCCCCCACCACCACCACAGAGCCCCCCACCACCACAGAGGTGTCCACAGCACATACCCGGGCTGGGGGCCCCGATCCCTCCTCCAGCAACGCAGCCAGACCCGCCGCCTCCATCTCCATGCGCCCCGAGTGACAGCTGCTGCAGTAGCAGCAGAGGCGGCGATAATGTTTAAGTATTATGGATACATACAGGAACACTCCCGTTCAAGTCCTTGTTGGCAAACACTGACGATGGCTGTGTTCCTACGAAGACAAAGGCCGCATGCGTAGGCAGCATGTAAACAACGCACAGACACAGCGAACACGTCCGACACCGCTCGCCTGACTGTAGGCGCGTGTGTGTGTAGGCGCGTGTGTGTAGGCGCGCGTGTGTGTAGGTGTGTGTGTGTAGGCGCGTGTGTGTGTGTGTGTAGGCGCGTGTGTGTGCAGGCGTGTGTGTGTGCGTGTGTGTAGGCGCGCGTGTGTGGGCGCGTGTGTGTGTGCGTGTGTGTAGGCAGGCGCGTGTGTGTGTAGGCGCGTGTGTGTGTGTAGGCGCGCGTGTGTGTGTAGGCGCGCGTGTGTGTGTAGGCGCGTGTGTGTGTGTGTAGGCGCGCGTGTGTGTGTAGGCGTGCGTGTGTGTAGGCGTGCGTGTGTGTAGGCGTGTGTGTGTGTAGGCGCGCGTGTGTGTGTAGGCGCGCGTGTGTGTGTAGGCGCGCGTGTGTGTGTGCGTGCGTGTGTGTAGGCGCGCGTGTGTAGGCGCGTGTGTGTAGGCGCGTGTGTGTGTGGGCGCGTGTGTGTGTGTAGGCGCGCGTGTGTGTGTAGGCGCGTGTGTGTAGGCGCGTGTGTGTAGGCGCGTGTGTGTGTGTGCGTGCGTGTGTGTAGGCGTGTGTGTGTGTGGGCGCACGTCTGTGTGTGGGGAGCGATAGTGTAGCGGTCAACGCGCTGCGCTATGAACCTGGCGACCCGGGTTCGATTCCCGCTCACGGCCAATACCAGTGACGATTATCTGAACTGGTCCCGGGCCTCCCCTAGGTCAACTCAGCCTCAAATAAGTACCTGTTGCGGCGTGTAAACATTGCCACTGGGGAGACAAAGGCGGTCGGGCGTGGTGCTGGCCTCCCACCCCCCGGTGTACTGTTACCGGCCTTCATAGGTGCTCGCTAACAGCACTTGCCCCTACAGTCTGTTAAGGCTATATGGGGGATCTTTGTCTTTTATCTGTGTGTAGGTGTGTGTAGGTGTGTGTAGGTGTGTGTAGGTGTGTGTAGGTGTGTGTAGGTGTGTGTAAGTCTGCCTGCTGCACTCGTGCTGCACAGGCACTGCGCTTGCTCCCTGGAGCACACACAACGTCACTCTTTAAGGCCGTCCATAAATGACGTAACGCACCTAGGGAGGAGGGGGGGGGGGTCAGACATTTGTGACGATGTGTGACGAGGGGGGGAAGGGTTTGAGAAATGTGACGTCACATCAAAATGCGCAACTTTAAATAAATATAGAATTACATTTTGATTTAAAGCTTTCGTGACTGCAGGGATTCATATTCTTGGTTCTTTCGGTAAAGTCACGTAGAAGGGAAACAATAAAATAATAATAACAAACGTCGTGATTCGTTTTATTTTATTTCTAACTACGTGACTTTACCGAAAGAACCAACGAGTATTAACATCTTATCTTCCAACGAGTATTAACATCTTATCTTCTTGGTTCTTTCGGTAAAGTCACGTAGAAGGGAAATAATACAACAATAAAACTGAAACAATAAAATTCTCACGACGTTTCCATTGCAACACAAGCAATCATCATCAGGTGTGAAAAAACCACAGCAAGAAAGAACCACGAATGCGAATCCCTGCAGTCGCGAAAACTTTAAATCGAAAAGTATTTATATCTTTTACTGCATTCATAATTCGTGTTCCTCTCGGGTTTCCTTTTTCGGTGAATGATTACGAGACATTGCGAGACCGCCCTGGGTAAACGGCGAGACAGCTTGAGCGTCACGGGGTAGTGGTGTGGACTGTTTGTACCCAAGAGTGTGCTGTCCACTTGGTCGAGCCTGTTCGTGTGTCTACACATAGCTGATCATGTGGGGAGCGGTGGCGCAACGGTTAGTGCACTGCGCTACGAACACGGCGACCCGAAGTTCGATTCCCCGCTCACGGTCGACACCGGTGACACTTATCCAAACCGGTGATGGGCTTCCCCTAGGTCGGCTCAGCCTCAAATGAGTACCTGGTTGCGGTGTGTAAAGATCACCACTGGGGAGACAAAGGCCGGCCGCCCACCCCCTCGCGCGCCGTGCCGGCCTTCATAGGTGCTGCTCGCTAAAAGCACTTGCCCCAACAGTCTGTTAAGGCTATAGGGGGGACTTCTGTCTTTATAGGGCATGACATAACCTGTGCTGGCAATGGGTACATACTGTACAGTGTAAACACTGGCACACACCATAATTGTATATTATTACGTGTGAAAATGGTGTATGTATAGCATACATTGTGTAAGTATATCGAAAACAATTTTAGCAATGATCATTTGTCAATTCACTGCTGGATACAGGCCTCCCAACATCGCCCCCGTCGTGAGTGTTGTTTGACGATACTTCACCACGCTGGTCAGTGAATGCTAACCGAGGCTGGGAATCGAACTCAGGTAGCCCACAGGCGAGAATATATCCGAAATGCTGTCCACAGTGGAGATGGAGCGATTAGATCAGCTGTTGTGCAGGAGCGAGATGGATTGTTGCATCACAAGTCCACGAGGAATGGCAATGGGAGAGCGCCTTCATGTCTGACGCTGATCAATAAATACGTATATGACGAGCAGAAAATGTGAGCTTTTTTTCTCTGGTATTTTGCTGTTCAACTGTGGAACAATGAAAAAAGAACAATCATTTATCGGGGTAATTAAAGTTAAAAAAAATTATGTTTGATGGAAATCTATAATCAAGTATTATAGTAAACTGGGAAATTAGTCAAATTCGACATTTCACATTTGTTCCAAATGCGCATTATCAGTTAGCCACATTCGTGCAGGAAACCCACCACCCAGCATTATCTGCTTTGCAATCATAAATGTGCTGCGTTGTTATCACCGCCATACTTGTGTAATGACTTCGGACTCGAACTGTAGAGGGTTCTTTTGTGGAACTTTAACGAGATAGTGCCGACGTGGAGACCATGATGACATTCAGGACGAGAAGACAGTGACGACGAGAAGACAGTGATGACAGGAAGTCCGCGATGACGATGATAAGGCAGCGACAATGACGATCAGACAGCGACAATGACGATCAGACAGCGACGAAGGCCCCGAGGCCCCACTGAACAGCCCCGAACCTCCACGGCGTGGCCATCACCCCACTTTTGGTCCCGCCTTTCCTTCTCGAACTCTCTGGCAAGTTCCCGAACCTTTATGGAGCTTGCAATCATTCCCTTTTCTCTCTCTATCCTGTTGTCACCACTTGTCCCTTAGTTGACGCACTGTCTTTAAATCACCCCCCCCCCCCCTACAAAGTTAGCCGTCTCGGCTAACAACAATTTTTAGAAGCAACGTGCATTAGGGCAGAAACTGCAGCAACATTTTCCCAACATCTGACGATTACAATCTTAAGGGTCTACTGTAAGGGGTGGGCAATGTGACCCTACTCACCCGACATCAACAACCATAACAACAATATCCATAACACACTTCCACGTTGCTCGAGGGAACCCTTCCATAGCTCGTGGGTTGGGCGTGGAGCCTAATAGCGCAACCTTACGCATTTTGACCAGGTTCTCGATGCCGGTCCCCCTCCCATGGCAGAGTCTTGTGCCTTTCTGGGCGTCAAGGATTCGCACAACAGCCTTGAAGAGTTAGGCTCATCCCTGGCTTCTTTTGAAGGATTTGACCGGGCTCCAGACACCAGTCCCTCGCACGTGGCATATTCTTGAGACACCCCGGACCTCAGGGGCTCGGATACTGTGGGCGGCACAACACATTTTCTTTGGCGTATGGTTTACTTGACTAAGCGCCCCAGCACTTCGGACACACCAGACATCGGCCGTACAGGACATGGGGATGCGCTCTCTGGGTGGAGATGGATATAAGTTTTGAGGCGGGACGAGTGGACGAACCAACAGCGACGCCCTGTCTGTATTCGTACACACTGCAGACGTTTCACCTCTATGACCTCGACCGGACCCCGCCATGGGCAGTGCAACTTGAGGGACGTACCCGGTGGCACCTGTGGGCAATACAACCATGCCCTGTCCCCGACCGCCCATGGAAGCACGTGTTCTCGCCACCCCCGTGTTCTCTTCATTAGCGGCTTGCGCTATGGCGATGTTTTCCCTGGCTGCCTCGCATGCCTCTGACACACGACTCAGCGTAACCTGCAGAGGTCCGGGAATGGGAAAAAAGGCGAGAATCCCGTAGAGGCATGTGGGACTCGGCTCTATTTTCCACTGTGCCTATGACGTCCACCCCAGTGGATTCAGCAGCCTCGCAACATGCAGCCGTTGCATGAGCCAGTACCGTACCCACCTGGACCACCACCATTCTCACTTCTACATTTAGGACCTGTTAAAACGGCTCCTAACTCATCCGCAATATTGTTTGCGCACCCACCAGCGTGAACCCACGGGTCGCTGTGTTTGACGGAGTGAGGAGAACTCCCACCTCAGGGTCAGCCAATTTAAGCCGGTTGTGGTATCGCAGAGGGACTAACATTTGCGTGCCTGGTGGAATCTCTATTAATTCCTTTACCAAGGCCAGAACTGAAACGTTCACAACCTTATTTTTTACCTGGGGAGATCAGAAAGAATAATCGCTGTCCTGACAGCACTTCGACACATCTTAAGTCTGTCAGAATATTGAGGGGCATCCTACTCAAAAAATCGGTATCCAAGAGACACGGTACTGCCAGTGCTTTAGAAATCAACACAGGTCCCGAAATTTATATTTCCCCAATCTTTACACAATCTTTCACCTGCCCCACGATTCCCATGCTCCCTCGTTTAGCCGCAATACACATATTTCCTACGGGCGTAATCTAACAGCTCTTTGACGGTAACATGTCATATATTATTTGTGATATAATTGTGGCTGAGGCCCCCACGTCTGTCTACATGCGCACATCCACCCCCTCTATGTAGCCGGCCACTGCCGATGTACCGGCACCAGACGCCACAACCTGGCGAGCCAACTTCCTCCATTGGGTGCTCCAATTTGTCCACCCACCTAGAGTCGAAACTCGCTGTTCGTCCGCGATGGCTACGGGATGAGGGGTGAAAATGATGCTTGCTTGGATCCTGGGATGACTTAGATGTGTGAGGTGGTTCAGGCCGGGTGTCTGGTATGTCGCAACTCGCCTGCTGGGGCTGTGGAGCGGACGTCGGCGGAAGGGTGGATGTCGGT